GCAGGACTCCCCTCCTGCCTCCTCCATCTCATACCACAAGGAAAGCCTGCAAGTCCCTGTTCTCAGTAGGAGAAAGTCCCTTTGTGCAGTAAGAAAGGGGACTCCTGAGTCCAGTCTGGCCATGAATTATTTTACTAGTAAAATTTGGTCTCTTTAATAATCCCTATAGGTTACTAACATGCTTCTTATACCATATTGATGTGCACAAGAGCGCATTATTGCTATTCAATCATACCTCCCGCTTTAGTTGAAATGCTGTTGTAAAGGAAGTGTAATTGCTACATTAGGGTGCTCCCTTGGATATACTTTAACCTAAGCATTTTGGAGGGAGATCATTTTCTGTATGTTTTCTTCTGTCTCAGGGGCTCCAAGTCTGACTGGATGCTACTCTGAGACTTTAGAGAACTGCACTACAATATGTGATTCCCCTAGATGTCAGACCTCATCCTGCTGATCTTTCGTGTGGACAATTTCCATAGATCAAGATGACATATTTTTTTCTGAAAGAGAACTGCAGACTATTGGCTCATAAAATACATACATCTCTTTAATATATTTTAAATGGACATTCTTAGAAGGGCCTATACCAAATAATTAACTTAAACTTGAACGAAAAAAGTTCCAAGCCTCTCTCTCTTTTTTTTTTTTTTTTTTAACCACAGTTTAGCAATTAGAACTGCTGAAGTGGACTCTCTGTCCCTCTGTAGGGGTTTCATTGATGTTGAAAGTCATACTTCTATGCGCATTATATTCTCTGTGAGGGAATTTTAGATACTGAAGTTATGATCTAATGGAGTTCTGGCAAATTTCACAGTGGGCTTGCCTTGAGGTTCCTGCTATAGATATTTGTGGCCACCTAGGTGCAAAGGATCTGTACAGAATTGAAGGTATGATTGAATAGAATTAAGGCTACTGTTAATTTTCTAGAAACCTATAATGAGGGTTAAATGCACCTATATTACAAACATGTATTGCTCCATATATCCAGATTGTGTGACGTTTCATCTAAGTAACCATTTCAGCTTTAATGTGGAAAATTATTTACCAGTCTTCACTGCTGAATGTTATGCTACGATTTTGATTTTCCTCTTGCTTATTATCTTATTTTTCATTTCTTTTGTTTCCCTTGTTCATTTATATAGGCGTGTTACTGTTTGAGAAATAAAAACATTGGTTCTGTTCAAGGATATAAGGCCTAGCTTATTCACTGTGCATCTTTATTGTTTCAAGGTTTCAGATTCTTTCTGAATCCATGGGCAAAAAATTGAAACTCATTTGTGATCATGTTACTAGTATCCAAGTGATTTGTTTTAAACAAACCAAGGTTTTCCATTACCTCATCAAAGCTTAAAAGTTTGAAGAAAACAATAAATAATACTATCCCATTGTGAAGTTTAAAGGATACTTTAGCATTTAAAAGCAGTTCTGTATTTTTTGTCCAGTGGTACTGTTTATGTAAATTCATTTACTTACCCGCTGGGCTTTTTTTACTTGCTCAAGTAACCATCAATTCTTAATTCATTTAGATTTAACTGTCATTTTTTCGAAAATATTTAACTTAGTAACTTGATGTACTTCAAGCTTTTTCTTTACATTTTGCCATTCCATTTTCTTCTCATGGTGATGTTTTCCTAAGTATAGTGTTTGTATAGTTCTAATTCATGCCCAGAGTATCACACAGACTAACATCAAATAAGTTGCCTGATACCTATTCGTTTCTCTTTCTTCTCTGTTTTCACCTCTCCTGATTATGAATTCTTGAATGACTGGCTGACTGTTCATAGGTCTTGGGGCAGTTCAGAAGAGAACTTTTTAAAAAAATAAGAAAATATTTTGTTTCACTTAGTGGTCAGAAGTGGAGATTATTATTTGTTTGAGACGGATAGTGAAGAGGAAGAGGAAGAGGAAAAAAAGGAAGAGGAAGAGCCTCGGAAAAAATCTGCATTCCAGGTACTTAATAGTAATTATTGGGCAGCTGACATTTGAAATAAAATTTAGGCTTCTCACATCATCTCACAGACACATATGTTAAAACAGCCAGCACATCTAAATAGACTTGAAGTGTTTTGGAAATGAAATTTCTTGGAAATTTAAGGTGCAAGTTTGCCTACTTTAGGCATTGCCAAATTCCTGCATTGCAAGAACTGTACTAAAATCATATCTGCACTAATTTGTGCCTAAAGAATACAAAAATAAAAAAATAAAGCTCAGAATCTGAGCTTTATTTTCCTATGTTGCAAAAAAGACAAGCAAGGAAGCTATCTTGCCTTTGGCATTGCTATAGATTGCTTGGATGGTTTTCTGGTTCTGAACAGATGCTACCAGTCCATGAAGAAATGATCCCTGCAGTAAGTGACTTCTCATGGAAAAGAATACATACTTACAAAATTATTTATTTTTGCTAGTGATCCTGGTGCTCCAGAGAAATGTATTAAATGGGTTGTAAAGAGCTTAGCGTTAATATTACACAAGGAGACGACATTACTTTCTCTCGTTTCTTTTTTCAGGTTAATGTTAATTAATATGTCTGCATTTTTAAGTAATGGACCATGCTGAAATAAGAGGATATTGTTGTGTTAAAATGTGCATGAAATTACTGCTTTCCTCATTAGTTCATTCCTAGTAAATATAATACTTTTCAGACCCATGTATGTTGGATTGCTTTATTTTTTTTAAGGTTAAAGTTTTCGTTATTGAAAGATTTTTCAGAAATACCCCAGAAATTTTTGAGGTCCTTCACTCTGAGGTGTCAAGCAAATAGGTAACTTTTTCCAGCAGGGTATTCCCATCCAGATGCAAGCTCATGTCACTGCGGAACTGGTGCATTACTAAAAGCCTAGCTCAAGCATGAGTGATCGACTGCCTCCGTGCTGCTCTGTTTCTTATGCCCATAGCTTTCAAACAAAGCTTCCCAGATCACATTACAGAATTACAAGAATAAATATGTAATTTAATTTAATTAATGGACACAATGTGCCACAGTTTATATGCTTAGATTATATTCGTAAATGTTCAGTACTTTATAAAACTGACTGAATGGTAATGATATAGAAAGATTCTTTTCTCACCTTAAAAAAGGCAAAACCAAATCTGAATGGAGTCTAATGTGATAAACAAGATTTATTTTCTAACATTTACACTAATTTGTGTATATTTTGTATTTAACTCACCTTGGACAATAAAAGAAACTTATGAATTTCTCGATCACTTTTCATTCTGCTTCTCACACAAGTGTAGAGGAAAGATAATATTTTAGTTCCTAAATCCTGCTGACTTTTTAAGGCATTGACGACAACATTTTGTTAACATTTATTGGTGCCAAGCGCTGAGATTTTTAAAAGTTCTAAACTTGACGTCAAAAGCTAATAAGATTCTTTCATTTACTCTGATTTTTTTTTTTTTTATTTATCTTATTTTTTGAAGCCCAATTCTGAAACCGTTTATCTGAGGGTGGAGGATCTGGTCTTTATTTCAGAACTCTGGCCAGACGTTCTGTATAGGTGGCCAGTTCTCCATGTGCAAAATGAAGCTCTTAGATGGCTTTATATAGGAGGGGAATTGTCTGGAGCAGCAAATTAACGTTTGTTTATGAAGAGCTCATTCATCGTTTGGTCATCATACTTTATATACCTTCCATCACCATGCACATGGACTTAATAAAAATACTAGGAAAGTGAACTTTGTTGTAGAGCCTGCTAAGGAATTATTTCTGATTGCTGATTTTTCTTTTAGTGTAAATTGTCTGTAACAGTCACCTTAAGAGATCACAGTGATATCCTCATTGGAATTACCACTCTAAGGGTTTACATTTATTGAACTGGAGATAACATATTCTTTAGCTTGAAGATTTATTAGGTAATGCAGGCAGTTAAGAATCATCTCATTGAAATTTTATTGTGGACCTCTCACATGATCCTTTTTCATATTGTAGTCAATGAATGTAAATTCCATCTTAATAATCTAGATAGAATCATGCAGTAGATACTTTTTATTAATATTTTCATGCTTTCTACTAATTTCTCTTGCTTTGTCCTTCTTTATAGAGAGCTATTGGGAAATTTGCTTCAGCCATTTTAGCCTTGCCAAAGTCTATCCTTAAACTGCCCAAAACTATTCTTCAGTATTTAATCAGAGCAGCAAAGGTATTTGCCGTTTTGCAAGTGCTCAGTATGTGACCCATCCCATAGATCCTGGTGTAATGTATACCTCTATCCTTGTCTGCATTTTCCTCTTATATGAATGATACAAAACTAATGACAAACAAAACTTCATTCCTAGTTTACATTCCTATAATGCGTTTCATACAAAAAAAAGCTGTCTATCTTCTCTTAAGTGCAGCCCAGAGAGAAAATGCAGACCCAAATTCTGATTTTCTTCTGATATCGCTGTATAAGATGATCACATCAGGTTGCATGTACCTTATGGACACTGTGGTAATTACTCTCAGAAAGCTGGTAGAATATTTGAATCACCTAGTAAAACACGCATTCCCTTCCAAAATCCTTTTTTTAGCTCTCGACTTCTCTGGCCTTCATCATCAGCAGAGAGATTTGTGCATCTTCAACATTTTCTTTCATCTTCCTCAAATACAGTTAGCATTTCCCACTTTTGAGTGGTGTTTATGACTTTACACTCCATATATGTAACATGATATGCATCAGGAGTGATGCATTACAGATTGGGAACACCAACTTCAAAGCCTAACAGACATTGAATGTTAAAATTTGTCCAGTGTTAAAAATCTAAAGCAATACATATGGAAGCAGCCAGGCAGCACTTAAAGTATCCCCCTGCTTAACGTTAAGTAGAGGTATACTAAATTTAACAATCAAATGTCCTTTCTTCATTCTAACCTGCTACCCTCTTCCACATCTGCCTTTTATCTCTAATGTCTTTATTCACCCTATGACTGTGACTAGTACACAGCTTCTCAGCTAACTGTTCAGTAGTAGATCTTGACAGTAACTTTTGGTAAGTAACATGGTGTTAGTTCACTTAACTAACACTATTCCCTGAGATCACCTTCATTAGGTGATCAGCTATTAAAAAGCAGAGAGAAACCAGTGCCTCTGGTCCCACACATTTTGTCACGTGGTGCTTGTTTTGGATAAATCAGGTATACAAAAATAAGTAAATATACAGACCTTGAGAGATTTGGAAGATCTTATTAAAGGTGACAAAATAATTTCCTCTCCACTATTACTTACAGTCACAAATCAGAACTAAGTGCTTTTCCCTTTTGAATTCAGTAAAAGTCAGTCTGACTGCTTAAGAAAATTGCTTTTACTGTTCCGAAGCAATTTATGCATACGAATTTAAAAAATATAAATAAGCCAAATAAAAATGTACTGTTCTCTCCTGTAAGGGACAGCTCCAGCTTTGCTGAGATACATGTGTGTTTCTGTCATTGTGTGCATGTTTGTCTTGTGAACTGAAGAGTTGTTTTATTAGTTTGCTTTATTTTTATCATCATGCGTGAAATTGTGTACTCCTCTCCCCAGTCGTTGTCATGAATTGGTATACTCCTCTTCCCAGTTTCTATCAACTGCATGTGTTGGTTAGAAATAGAAAACAATGCAATGTCAATCCAAAATTATTCTAATTTCTGAATGAAAGCATAAAAGGAACAAAAGCACCTCTTCTATCTCAAACAGTCTTGGAGAAAATTCAGTTATTTCAGTTTCTGCTACTCACAATTTTATGTTGTATGGGAAAAATAGGTATAGAGGTATTATTGCTTTTCTCTGTAACCTTCCCTTACAGCTTGAGCAGAGCTATTCAACCAGTTATTTTGTGTTAATAATACAAAATACAGCAGTGAAAACTCTGCTGTAGCATATATAAATATTTTGGACCAATTTCTTGCTTAACTTAGGCACGCAGATCAACAAACTGTTGATCTGAGTGAGTGTTGTGAGCAGGATTTAGCTGCATTAAATCCCCTTGATATAGGTAAGTATTGCTGTTTCTATTTTACAAATGAAAAACAGTGGCAGAAGGGTTTATGAGTGACTTATCTGAGCAGCAAAGGAAGCCATTGTCAAAATCAGGATGAAATTTGAGGAGTCCCTGGCTGCCAGGTTTGGGGCTGTGCATAGATTAGCAAATCGGTAAATGTTCCACTGAGATCTGCAGAGGGGGGGAAAGTCACCTGAAGTGTAAGAAATCCACAAGAACAAATACCTGCATTGGGGTATTACCACATCTTATGATGTTTTAGTTAGCTGATTACAACACTTTCTCTTAAAGTTTCCAGTACTCTGCATCTGGCCTGTAAAATGATAAAGTAGAAATATAAATTAAATTGAGAGATTCGGGTGAAGTAGTATATATACAACAGGGTATTAATTCTCAAAGTTCAGACCATACATTTTTGTGGGTTCTGATGAAACTTGGTTCACCCACAAGTGTTTTCAGATTTGGTTTTATGCTAGCAAAAATAGCGTATGAAAACTCGGCAGATCTGCATGGGAGGTGTTTGATTTGGGATTCAAAATATTTGCTTACCCCTGCAGATCTGAATGTGTTTGCTCAAACGATATAGTCCTGTTTGTGGTTTATTTTATGGCTTACTCTCAAAACATGAAGGACCTTGAAATAAATGAATTTATTCCTTCCAGTTTGTTTATCAAGCCTGGATTACTGATCCTAAAACTGCGCTACGACAGAGACGCAAAGAGAAGAAAAGGTTTGGCAAAGAGGACAAGCGAAGGCGAAAAGGATCTGGGGATGGTATGTACACTTCTGCATTTTAAAAAACGTACGCACATATTCAGTTCACTGCCTGTTGTTTCTGGCAACGAAAGGCAGCTGGGTATCAGAGAGAAAATACTCTCGGTTCTGCCTGAGTATTGGAAAAGAAGAAAAGAACTTGCTGCTGAAACATCCCTTTACGCGCCTTTAGCAGTTGCTTAATGCGAAAGTGAGTTTGCCTTTGGCTCTCTCTTCCTTCACCAGCCTATGACAAAGCCAGTCATAGTTATGTGCTTTCATTCTGCACAATACATGTCAGGAGAGAGAAAAGGGAAGAGGGAAGAGAGATGCGTGATTCCATGGAGTTGCCAGATTTATGCCCAGAGCTTTTGACAAATAGGTAGACTCAACACATACTTGACAACATCAGCTATATGAAAACATGTGCAGAAGAGGAGTAATTGCAAGGGAAAGCCATAAGCCTGTAAAGCCATAACCCTGTACAGCCAGTAGCATGGTACTTAATGGCATTTTCCCGGAGTATGGGAGCATAAACATCAGGTGTTTGGTCTGAATCAGACAGAGGAAGGATGTTAGCCTTTCACTCCCTCACCTCATAAAAAAAAAGAGTAATTTACTCTCTAGGTTTCCTGGAGTTGCTGAAAGTCTCTCATTTTGATAATAAATTCATGTGAATTCCCAGAGAAAGTTTTGAATTTGACAGACTTACATTTTCTGTTGAAAAATGGCTCCTGAAGAGCTGTATTTCAAGGAAGCTGTAATAAAAATTCAGTGAAATATTCACATAATATTTCTTTTTCCCACATTTCGTGTATTTTCCCCAAAAGACGCTTGAGTTGGCACATGGAGAAGAGCATCAAGAAATGTTTTTCAGTTTTCATGCTGTGCTTCTCCATGAGGTACCCGAATATTCAGGGGCAGCTAAATTCACAAAGAAATTCAGTAGGTAGCAAAAGAAAAACATGCGAGTGTTAATATTTTTTTACTGGTACTATAAAATCATTCAGGCCTCTGAAAAAAACAGTTTATAAGTGATTCACAGCTCTTGATTTTTTGCTGTTTTTTAAAAAAGGAGAGAAAATAGCATTGCAGAATTTTTTCTGATTAATAGAGATTTGGGGGGGAAGGGAGGCATTCAGGCAGAATCAGCTAGACTTCTCTATTTAGCATCTTCATTCTTCAGTGGCAGCATATTAGTTGGAGTTGCAATTTTAGGATATTAGATAGAAGGAGAGTCATTTGGTTGAGTTCTGTCTGTGACTCAACATTACTTCTGTTGCAAGCCTTAAAAAAAGCAAGTGGCAGTTGCTCTATATCAGCGTTGGATTCCCAGTCAGTACATTCAGGTTATATCAGTTACAGGCAGGAGAAGATCAGAGCCATGAACAGGTTGCCTTTTGCAGAAGGTGAAAAAGTGAACTGTAGTGTGAGTTAGTGGAAAGAAAGTGGGGTTTTTGAGGGTGGAAACAGTATAACTCTGAGAAATTGCATCAGCTTACACCAGCAGATGATCTTGCTCAGCAGGGTATCTAATAACAAAATGCTGCTGCAAATTACAAGAGAGGAGCGTTCATTTGTGGACTTTGTCTAACATTGAGAGGATTGTTCCATCACTTAGGTCCTTTAGAAATGGAAATCTGCTTTCTGTTATGGTGGTAGGTGAGGAAGCAATCACTTCTCCTCAGTAAGTATAATATTTTCAAGCTTGACTGGGTTTTATACCTGCATTTGTATGGATGTAACTTTCATTGCTTTCAATAGGTGCTGTTGATGGGGACTGTGAAGACAGTGAAGAGGAACCTGTCAAGAAGAAATCTGATGGACCAGGTAGGAAGGCAGAAAGAAGGTTACTCTGCTGTTACAGTGCGGTTGTGACCGGTGGGGTAAGCAGTGCTATTACAAAGAAACTAACGCATTCTTCCCACGCACTTTAGTAAATACACCTGCAGGCTCAAATGTGATCACTTGATTCATATTTCAATTATCTAATAACATATACCTAAGCTTAGCTTCCAGTCCAGAGTCCACTCAGGCCAGTTTTAAAATCTCCATTGATTTTGATGGTGTGCTATTTTTTTTATCAGCATAAAGACTTTGTATTTTTCCAATGTGTTTTAGCAAGCTAAAGATAATGCTTTTGTCCAGTACTGGCCATTTCAACAAGGTGGCAAATATCTCTTCTAAAAAATGACATTTTCTAAAGCTTACCCATTCTCATTCATAATCAGTCTGGAGGATGCTCAGAACTACGTAAGAAATCCCACCAGTCTGCAGGATCTTGCCCTGTTTTCTAACAGAAAGCTTTCCTGTACAGAGGTGCAGTGGACCCGAACTCTCCCATGGTGCGCTTGGACCTCTGTTTCTCACCAGAGCAAAAGGTGAAAATAGTCTCTTCTCTTAAATTCGTCTTGGTCAGGTCTTACTTTGAGTGAGACCTCATCTTCAAAAGCTGTTTTTTGTCTCTGTTTAAAATTGGATCCCACAGTTTGAATTCCAGTTAGAATTGTATCCCTGAGTGAGCCACAGGGCAGAAGAGATTACGAGAATGTGAGAGATGTCATTAGTTTCTCAAAGAAATCATTACCAGTCTTTGTTGGTGGGGTTTTGTGGCCTTTCTTATATGCTGATTTCTTGTGATCTAGCCACCTGTGTTAAAACACTAAAATGAATCACTCAGACATGTCACTCGGGAAATACAGTTGGTGCTATGCAGGAGTTAAGGAAAGGGAAGGGGGATTATAATTAATTTAGATTGGAAGTAGTCACTTTAAGGTGCTTTTTTGCCCATACCTAGGTACAATTCATTAAAAAAGATGGTTGGAAAAATTAGACAGTAATTGTTATGAAGCATTAGTATCATCATTAACCTTGGATCAAATCCTGTCTCACACTCTCAGGTAGAGAAGCAGTTGTTCTTTCTCAACATTTGACCCTTTAAGAATAACAATCTCTTGCAAAAATAATTATTTGTTTCCCTTTTTGAAGAGTTTTAGATGTAATCGATGCCCAAAAGATTATTTTTAAAAAGTTTCAGAGAAAAGCAAAGCTATCAGAACAGCTATAGCATCATTAAAAATGTATGCTAAGTAACCTCCAACCCAGAGAAGAAATGACCTTTCAGATTAGACTGGAAGTGCTTGGCAAAGCACTACAGTGAAGCCATGGCATACCAGTGGTGGTTGATGATAAAAGATAATTTTAACCTGAGAGCTGGCATTCTCCTAAAGTCAGTAGTACAACTAATATGCCAGAGAGAAAGTGTGCGTGTGTGTATGTGTTAAAAAAGGACATTTATATGTTGTATATTTCTGTATATGAATGCTACATTTTCCTTATGCCTATTTATAGTATTACCTCTGGAATTCAAAGGAAGTGAGTGTTCCTAGGAGTAGAAAAGGCTTTACCTTTAATATTTGCAATGGCAAGATTTTCTTGGCTTCAAGACCTGTACCTTAAAGTATACATGAATAAAATTTAAGCAGCTAAATCTTAAAATCTCTCCAATTCTAAATGATATAGAAAAGGCCTGAAAAAATTGCAGAGTATAATTGAAATAATGGTATGGCCAAGCGAAGGGGACTGAAGATTCGAAGATACTGGACTGGTTCCATGGCATTGCTTAGGCAAAAGATACTGTCATTTCACTATCCGCTTTACAGGATTGTACCACCAGTGGGTTTTTCCACTTAGTTTCTCTCTACACATATGTTCATGCAGCCCTCTGCACCAACAGAGACACACGCTTGATCCCCTGTAGAAAATCTCTTGCTTTATTATAACCTCACTTTCGTATTCTTTGTGAAGAGCGAGTTCACATTCTGCAGGGTTTTGAGTGACATCTTGTGGTGCAGCTAAGAAAGGAGGTTGTTAAAATCATCATTGTGCTTTAGCACATACGTTGGCTCCTTAGTGTCTGCTTCTGACATTTTGTCCCTGCATGGCAGATTATTTGCCATTTTCTATTATCTTTTAGGCTGGTTACTCCAAAATTAGATCTTTATCCCAGAGCACTGAGTGCTCTGGAATTAGGAACTTAACAAACAGCTGGCTATTAATTGCAAAGAAAATTTTTAGTATTTACGTAACGTTAAGAACTGTTTTATGGTGTATGTGTTTGTGAGTGTAAGAAAAATAGATTGAAAATGCTGCCTTTTTCAGGTGAGGCATGCAGTTGCTACAGGAACTGCTGAAATGAGAAATTATCTAGTGTTTGCTGCATTGAACAAAATAAAGCTGCGGTTGTTGATATAAACCCATAGCTTACTCATTGGAAAGTGCACTGTTTTGGCAAAATGCTATAAGAGAGTGTTCTATAAATGATTTTATGATTTCTGCTAGTTGATCTGAGATAGCTTATGACACAGTGCAGCTTATTTAAAAAAAATCTTCATAAACTGAGGTTTTGGAAACGGTAAATACAAAGAGGTGTGTTCCGGTGTTTGGAAAACTGAGTGAGAGTTAAAGGCTATATAGGCAGGTTAAACTTTCAAACTCAGCTAGGTAAGGTTCAAGCACAAACAGCAAACTCCACATGCAGCAAAAAGCACGCAAGGGAATAGACAGGTAAAGGACCAGCTCTACAGGCTGACTGAGCAGCCACTGAGAGCCCTGGAGCTGTGGATGTCGAGTAGCTCTCTGGAGATGCCCAAATCTTTGGGTTTCATTTTGCAGACCTATGCATATGGCGTCTCTCTAAAATGAAGGACTGTTTATATGACGGATGATTGCAGGATGAGGGAGTCACAGGGTAGAAAAGGGATTCCAGATGATAAGCCTAGACATACAGGCAGGAAAATGGACCAGACAGCCAAAAGGCCTCCAGCCATCTTCAGATATTCCTTTCTATGACAGAGTCTTGCAGCCTGGATTATAATTAGACAATAAAGGAAAACTAAAACTAACTCCAAGTAGAAATACAATGAAAGACATTTACATCCATTAACTCTCTGTTGCTTTTCCTCTCCCCTAGATAACATCATCAAGAGGATATTTAATATTTTGAAGTTCACTTGGGTCCTTTTCCTGGCAACACTAGACAGTTTTACAGCTTGGCTTAATTCCATCTCAAGAGAACACATCGATATCTCTACTGTGCTAAGAATCGAGCGCTGTATGCTGACCAGGGAAATTAAGAAGGTAACGCCTTTGGTCTTTTTCTTCTGCTAATGCCATTTCCAGCCCAGCAAAAAAAGAAAGGATTGTCTTTTGAGATCAGCTGGAGGCACTGTGCTAAGGAAAAAAATTATAAAAATCTCACTTATATACACATTTTAAAAATAGGTCTGGACTCTTCTACTGCTTGCTAATTTCTAAATATTAAAATAATATATTATTTGATTAATTACTTGGAGTTGAAACAGATAATTGGAAAAATAATTCTTTGAGAGACTGATGATAAGGATTTAGCTGAAAGACTCCTGCAATAAATTGCAGTTTTGAGAGGATGGAATAGATTCAAAAAGAGAGGAGAAGGTGTGGCATTTTAAACATCTCAAAAGTCGCCTCAGTCTGAATATTTTAGCCTTTTTGAAGAGCAACTTGCTATGGAAATGGTTGAAGATGTAGAGGCAGAATTTTCTTTTACTCACACTGAAGCTGTTTCGTCCCCCCAAACCAGGGATATATTAGTAGAACCCCTTATTATCAAAAATTAATGTTGACAGTGTAAGTAGAAATGTGTTTGGATCTTAAAAAGTATCACAGGTAGGTGATACCGCCAAGTTGTATAAAACTCTCACAGGTTTTTTTACATATGTCACTAGCTACCCAGCTCCTTTTGGAAACCTGGCATAGAAGCCTCATTTTTAGTTCTTTTCATTCTTTGTTAAAATCTGCAGACTCTTTCAGAGATAAATAGGTCAACAGTTCATTATTAACCTTTACATTATAAAGCATCATACTGTCAGGCCACCTTGGATGTCTGCTGGCACAATAAGCAGGTTGCACGTGACCTCAGGAGATTCTGAGAACAGTCTTTTCTGATCAGAAGGGAATCTATACCCAGTATGGCCATGAGTCAAAGAGCCACGAAGAGAAGATCACTTCAGTATTAATGTTTAGTTACTATTATCTTCCTCTAAATGTCCAATAGAAACTAGATGACTAAAAAAAAAAAAAAGAGAGAGAGAGAGCACGCGAGCAAAATAAACCTTGTATATTCAGGTTTGCTTGTAAGTGCTTATTTGGAATACCTCCCAGCTTGTGGCAATGAATAGCTTAGGGTACCCCAAATTGGAGATTACATCTGGACTATCATGGTTAATAGTACCAAGGTATCTGTATTCATGGAATTTATCTAATCCCTTTTTAACCCATTTTTAATGTTGGCTTACAGAAGATCCTGTGACAATGAATTCCATAGTGTAATTCCATATTATGTGGAAAAGTACTTCCTCTTGTTCGTTTTAAATCTACTTCCGATCATTTTTTGGGTCTCCTGTAGACCCTGTAGATCAAAGATGTGTAGATTACTTTCCCTCTGCTATTCCTGATTATGTAAATCTTCATGGAGTCCTCTCAGTCTTTCTCTTCCAAGTTAAAAAGTCCTATTCTGCTTAGCCTCTCTGTACATGCAATCCATTCCTGCCTCTGATCATTTTTATTGTCCTCCTTCATACCATTTCAAGATTTAATATGGCTTTATTGAGACTGGGTGACTAGAACTGCACACTATTTTCAAGGTGTGAGTGAAGCACAATTTTATACAGGAGTATGATGTGTTTTCTTTTTCTTTCTTAATAAGACCTAACAGTTAATGTCCTTTAATTTTTAGTGAATATTGACTGAGGCTTCAGGCTGATTCCAAGACTTTTCAGAAGAAAAAAGCCAACGTAAAGCCTGTCATTGTGTATTACACAGTTTACTTTTTTTTTTTCCCGATTGCATTTCTCTGCACTTGTTGGCACAGAATTTCATTTGCAGTTTTTTACTACGTAACTTAGTTTTATGAAGTTTTTTAAGAGTGCTTCAACCAACCTTAGATTTGACTATCCCGGATAAATTTTTTTCAACTGCAAACTTTATCACCTTGCTATTTTCCTCTATAGCCAGATTATTTATGAATATGCTACACAGTAAAACTCTTTGGGAGGCCCGTTTGATGACCTTCCTCCTTTGTGAAGACATACCACTTATTTGTGCCCTTTGTGTCCTGTCTTTCAGTGAAGGATAATTATATGAGATATAGTCCACTTTATTTCATGGCAGCTTAATTTCTTACAAGGGTCATTAATTTCTCAGGATCAATCCTGAGGCCATGTTTAAGGATTGGTATCACCTTCTCTTCCTCTCGCACTTGGGCTATTTCATGTGTCAGTTTCTGCAGAGCTCTTTGGTGAGCATTGTCCAGTCACTGTTCAATGTATTATTTTAAAACATTTTCTATCAACACTTGAGTTTGAAACAATTCCTCAAACCTGTCTTTAATAAAATAATTACTCCACTTGTTCCATGAGATTCAAGTCATTCCATTGGGAATCTCAGTGACTTTCTCTGTAATCAGCACAGATGCAGTTTTTCTCCTGCTGCCTTAGCTCCCTGAAGAGTTATTCCTCTTTATGCCTTGATCACCTATTGACACCCTGGCTTTCTGGCCGCTGATTCTTGTGATATACTAGAAAATGTTAATGTTACCTTCTGTAATCTTCGGTAACATTTCACAGGCATTAGTACGATCCTGGTTTTATGGTCAAAAATCCAGCTTTCATACTATACTTTTGCTATATATGTTGAGTCAATTCTATCCACAGAGATTCTGTGGTAATCCTGATAAAATTAACTTGTTAAACTTGTTTGGCTTTATACTTTTAGATCTGCACCATCTCTTTCCCAAGCTATTTCCATTCCATTATTTCTATAGAATTTATACTGTGGTACTAGATCATCGCAGAGATGCTCCTTTTAACCTCACATCTCAGTAGTCACTGCTGTTTCAGCATCCTCACTTAAAATCAGCTGATTCTCACTCACCACTTCTTAGTTTTTAAAGTTGTAACATTTATGTAGGGGCCAGAATAACTGCCTATTTTATAGTCCTTATTTATTTGGGACCTTATTTTGTTTGTTCTTCATTACTTCTCACCTGAAAGTTATTGAGCTTTGCCTATATTTCTTTGCAATAGTTTTTTTTTTCCAATTTTATGTACTAGTAACCTAATGCTATTTTGATTAGAGTAGAGCCCATCCTTCCTTGTATAGGCTTTTATGTGCTGCTTCAGTCCTAATCTTCTGGTACGGAGGACCCTTCAAAGAATATCCCCAGGTTGTTAGCTTTAAAGATAGCAAGTTAAATTTTGCTTCCAGGATATTTCCTTCCTCTTCTATAAAATATTGGCATCCGTGAACACTGGAATCACCAATTCCTCCACAGCATTTCCGAGTCTCTGTAGCAGCCCTGTGCCTGTTATTGCTGCCCAAGAAAGGATGCTCTCACTGCAGGTGTTGTGGTGATGTGGGATTTTTTTGTACAGAGGGGAGTCAGGGACAAATAACCTGATATGTAAGGTTCTTTTGGTCTCTCTTCCAGCTACATAAGAACATGAAATTGAGTCCTTGCTCCATCAGTTGTGGGGCACTTTGCTGTCACAGCTGTTCTCCTTTATCCCAGGCCTGCAGTTGAGCTAGAATGCAGTGGGTGCTGTAATTTCAAAGGCATAATGGCATAAATATTTAAAGTTTTGCTGCAGAAGCAGCACATTTTGTATACAAACAAACCTTATTAAAAGCCCAAGGTTCAGGTTTTGCTCTTATAATTTTTTTTTGACAAGACTTTAGATTTTGAAAATCTAAAATTTGGGTCAGTGTGGAGTCCAGAGCTGAAATGCTAGTAACTAATAATATTAGTAAAGGGAATGCAGACCATATTTTAGAGTAGTTTTATTTTTTTAAATTGGAAAAAATCCTTGCATAAGGCTTCATTAAAAGTCAGAAAAATGACTATTCAAAAATAGCAATCTTTTATCTCAGCGTATCTTCTGAAGTCAGTGCAATTACTGGTGGAATGAGTTGGGTGTGTTTCTGCACTAGAACAGGTTATAAAATTGTCAGTTATATTCTTATTGCAAGTCTTTAACATTCTGATGACAATATCATAGCCAGGAAGACTTGATTCGATGCCCAGACCTGGGCTGACAGTTAATAAAACTGTCCTTTCGTGATCTTGCTTGATCTTGAAGTCACAGAGAACGAATAAATAGCAAAGGTCTTCAATGTATTTTTCACGGTTCCCCAACTGTACTTATACTTTATGAACAAAATCTTATTTCAGGGACATTAATGAAAATCTAGATCACTTGTACATGGCCTGTTTCTTTTGTTTCTGTTTAAATACCTGCTGCTGGCCAATAACAAGGAATATGATTGTTAGATTGAGTGAATCTATCTCAAAGAGCAATTGCTGGAGTCCTATATACAGGTTGAGTCATGGTCCCAGCCCACACCTCATTTTCACATGGAATGCTTTGTACTGCACCTAACAGAGGTTTGTGGACCCTACATAACCTGAAGTCACTTGCATTGCTTCAGTTTTGCTCTGAAACCCAATGTGTTATGCCTTGGTAATAAGTCAGAATCTGCCTTGCTCTTCGAAAAGGCAGTAGGGGGAGGTTATCATGTACTGGGAAGCTGGTTGCAGTCCCCTCCAAGCTTATCGGTGCCTTGTCAAATGACTGAAGAAACCAGTTCCTCATAGCATACACCTCCCCCGCCAGCGTACACTTCTTCTCTCCTCCACAGGGTAATGTTCCAACTCGGGAGAGCATCCATATGTACTACCAGAACCACATGATGAAACTCTCTAAGGAATCAGGACTGGATTCAGTTGATAAAAATCCTGGTCAAGCTTCTGGTTTGCAAGCATCTGAAAGAATGGATAGTTTAGATTCAGCAGCTTCTCGTGACAGTATGTCCAGGTATTGATTTAATTTTATTTTGTGGAAGGTAGAGAATCATAGTAGATGAAATTTGAGAAAATGCCTAAGTACTGATTAACTTTCTAGCCAATGCTGAGCATTCCTTTGATTTATCCATGGCATTTTGGTACTGAACGCTCCCCTCTATATCACTATTCCTCTATAGCAGTATGCTCAATTGTACAATAACCAGATGACTTAACTCCTTTTCCACTGCATGACTACACCACCGCTTCTGTTTCTCCTAGAATTAGGAGTCAATGACAGGGCTTCTGATCTTATCAAAAATAATGGAAAACAAGAACCCTGCTGAGGATGCTTACGGGCTATTGTGTTATGAATTCAGGTGTAGAGCTTGCGGATGTCATCATTCATCACAAATATTTTGTCTTTGGGAAATAAAGTCTTGTCTGTTGCACACAGAAAAGAAAGACTTTGTGTTGATAGAGATTCTGGGTTTGCGAGAACAAAATTCCCCTCTCATACACACAGGGCAAAGAGTATCTGAAGGGTCTGCTGCTGATTTCCTCACTACTATGATTACAGTCCAGCAGAGCTATACAAGGGGGATCAAATATCCTTATTTGTTTAGGGAAACCACCTTCCTCATTCTCTTCTGGAGATGGATGCTGTCAAGTCCCTTGCCAAAACTACTGCGTGCTCCTGCCATTTCATATACACAGGGGGACACACGTTCACTTCCTTCCCTTGTAGAGGCGCCCTGTTCCCACCATGTCCTCAGCGCTCTTAACCCTTAATAGACCGCAGAAATTGCCCAACAGTGTCGTAAGGGGGAAGAGGGAGGGCTATGGATATAAAGCTATTTCATAATTCCTTGCTTTCTGCTGTTTTGTGTTCTTCTCTGAAGTGTGGCAGTATCATATTATCCTTGATACTCCCTGCAAATTCTGTAGCTTGTGTGTACAGTAAATTATGCTTAGCTTTTACTAATGACATATGGGCAGATGTTAGCAGACTGAAAATAATGAGGGCTTGTCTTTCTTTCTGATGTTACTGAAAAGCAAGTGTAAGAGTGGGGCTGTGAGTAGTATGCTTCAACAAAATATTCACAAATTGCTCCCCGGGGTGTATGCTGGCCTTTGAGAGTCTGACTCCAGTAAAAACATCCAAATCCTAGCAAATCTTTCTTGGTGGCTAGCTACCCAGCTATGCAACACCTTTGTGTTTTGTCTCAAAGTTTTATTGGAGTGAGATTACATGAGAAAAATGTGAAGGCAAAGTCTGTTGCAACCTTATTTGGAGTCAAACAGGCATATCTGGAGGGCAGAATTTAACTCCATAAAGTTCAGTCTCATTTAAAGGAAGATTACTAATACCAGTCCTGTTTTCATTAAATAGTTTTTGGTCACCTTATTTACTATAAATAGAAGAAGTTAACGTGTATTATATAACAGTGCTATCTAGAGCTTTAAATAGAAGCAAATGGAAGCCGATTCCAAATCGAATTATAAAAAAAAAAAATTCTTGTAATATTGGTATGTATACTCTGAAATGGTATCTAGTGTGGAGATCCAATGATGTATTTATTTAGAAAAGCAACCTAGTTGTTACTGTGCTTTGAATGTACTTACAAATTTAAAATCTGTTTTCAAACTCAGAGACTTCAGTAACTCTGTGGAGCAGCTTTGCCACAGAAAAAGTTATATCTTCCATAGCAAATGTTTCAAATGTGTTACTATCATCTCTGTTTCCTCAGAAGATATCACAGGACCTATTAACAAAGGAATAGCAAAAGTAGTATTACAGCTTATTTGTCTAATCTCAAATTCTCTTTCTGGTCATGAATAATTAAATACTCTTGTACTAACAGTATTTGCAAATTGTGCACATCTGCTATAATAATACTAGCAACAACCTGTAATTAGAGGAAGCAAAAACCAGCCTGCTGATTGAATGATAATGCCATCTGTTTATTAGGGCACCCTTGCATGTCTCATCCTGGGATTAGAAAAGTGCTTATGAGCAGTTTCAGAAATATGTAGTGTTTTAAACTTTGTATAGGTTTATTCAATGATTTCTTAAATTGCACGAACAATATCAGAGGGTATTTTACATTTCAAAGTAATGACTTCCAATAAATATAAAAGCAACCAATTAAATCTAAAGCATCCCTATGGATCTAGGCTTGCAGTGGAAAACTTTCAGGAAGAGGTAGCCGGTTTCTAACCAGTGCAATGGTTATCCGTCTTTGATTGCCTTACATAAAATCCTGTATCATGGCTATTAGGTCCACGAGTAAGATGGACATGTCTGACGGTAATCAGGGCTACAGAAGCATAGAAGTTATTCCATTATCATAATATATATTTCTCAGGACAGGAATTACTGTAGATATGCCCTCAGCGCTCTGAGCTCCAAATTTTGCAGAGTATCGTGTACAGGATTTTCTCATTTTGTAGGGGAGACTCAAAATTTATTTATTCTCAATCTCTTTTTTGTATAGTAGCTACAGCTGTTTTGAGGTATTCCTAATGCAATTTTTTGGTCTCTCCTGTGTATAAATACTCTCATGTGTCCTAAATGCAAAATGTAAAGTGCGTACAGGACAAGAAGAGAAGATGCTGATGCTGGTCTTTAACAAGCTCTTTGATGTGCATCACCAGAGAGATTTAGAGTTGGCATGGTAGAGAGTTTGCTGCTGCTTGTTTCCAATTAAATGATGAACTGCTTGTTCAGATTGTTGTGATTGGGAGCTCCTTAAAGCCAACTGGCTGCCTTTGTAGGACCTGGCTTAAGAATATGAAATACCAGGTGGCCACAGATCCTAAGTCAGATTTCATGATAGGCCGGGTTTCACATCAGTTTGGTTGGTATTCCGTTTTTATATCCTCACAAAAAACTTTCAGTTCCTAACTCTGGCTGTATATAGGCTTTTATAGGAGCTGTAGGATGGGAGCCACTGGCCGTCCTGTAAGAGTACGCATACAGGTGGGGTCAGGAGCTTTGCAGACGCCACTTTTTATCTGTGCTTCCCTCACCATATTAGGGAGTAGGTCTTGAGTCAGGGAGCACCAGAGAAGTGAAGTTTTTCCTTTGGAGGCAGGAGGAAGGGCAGAGGGAGAGGCTCTATCTGCGGCTGGATCCAGGTCTGAGTTAGGAGTATGAGCAAGAGGAAGTGTTTGGGGTCCTGGCTTGCAGGTGTGGGGACTGCAGTAGGAGCGCTGTAGCTCAGTGTGCTGCTTTGTGAGTGAACAAAGGAGAGGGCTCCTGGCTGAGAGATGACAGCCACAGAAGCAGGCAGTTGCCCTCAACTCTTGTACCCCAAAAAACTAAATGTGGTGACTGCTTTCTTAAATAGCAAAATAAAGATCAAATCCTGAGTGGTACGCTCTTTCCAGTGCTTCTGCATACTCAGAAATTCTTGGAATTTAGCCTTGCATCAATAGTTAGGGGGACCCCCAGGATACATTCATTACAAAGCAAAACAAGGAGTACTGGTGATGTTATGTAAGTAGGCTGTTCTTTTCCTTATCATGGTCTGGAGGCAGTTCCCTTCTCAGGCAGTTTATGCTAGTCTTCCTCCCTTTCTCTGCTTTGTTGCCAGATGTTTGATTCCAGATCTGTTTGAAAATAGGATCATTATATGTTCGTAAATGCAATGCCAGTAACAAGCACATCAACAGAAAGAAACAGAAAAAATTAGAAGTCACTCCTTAACTAATAAACTCTCTGGGAAGAGTAGGTTCATTTGGCAGAAAGGAAGTCATAAAGTAAGACATTTCCCACTCACCCAGGATAAAAAGATCTCTACTATGTATTTGAAATGGATATCCGATCAACTTTATATAAATTGCTTGAGTTTAGGGCTTTTAATGAACATTCAATTTAAAATATCTATTTCTTCAGTGATTTCAAGAAGCTAATGCTTTTCAGATTCTCCACGGACCCAATTTGAAAAGTTCATCAAGAAGATACGCTTGGGTTAAATTTATATGATAGTCAGTGACTAAGTCAGCATCAACTTTGCCAAACATAAATCTCTCCACTTTATTAGTGTTCTCGTTTCCTCCATGCTCTGCAGCATGTCCCTGAAGAAGTGCATTCAGAATGCACACACTGTGCTACAGGTGTCATCTCATACACATCTCCAGACATTCAAGGATCTAGAGCAGCTGCTCTGTAAATATTTCTTCTGATGGTTCATCTTTCGTTTAAAAGAGTTACATAGTCCAAGTTATTGCAGGCACTAAATCTGGGCCCGTGTTTTTTTCTACTGATATTAATAGATGTTTTTCCCTTGATTTTTCTGGTTCCCAGGTCAGAACTTCCTTCTTTTAGAGGGCAGCTGGAATATGTTTTTTCCAATGAAAATATATGGAAGAGCACATTTCAGTTTGATTTCAGTAGCTCTTCTGCTTAAGGCCCTTGGAAAGTTCCAGGAAGCCTGCATTTAAAATGCTTTAACACCTTAGTAAAAGGTGTTGATCTTTAAAAGCAATAAACTTAGCCCTTCAGTTACAAAATAAGATGGGATAATATTGCAGCCCACAGACCAAAAGATAATCTATAAAATACTGTCCACCCGCTGCCATCTCCCTATATTTTAGCACCAAAACCTCACTGCTGGTATGACAGCCTGACTATGCTCCATACGTTTATGTGCAATGGGAAACGTCCTCCATCAGGAGCCCGCTTCACTCAACAATACGGAGCTCCCACTGACTTCCATGCTGCCAAATCAGGCCTTCAGGGAGAATCTCCTGTTCCTCTGTGAAGCAGCATTCCCTGCTTCATCGTAAACCCTGTGCAATGGGGAGAGCGCTCCAGAGTTTTGTCCAGAGGATGGTTGTGAGCTTTTATGCACACATAGAAATAATTAAGGTGCTTTGTAAAGGATCTTGGCCAAATGAACTGACAAGACAGGAGTACTCTTGCCATTAACATAAGGTATTGTTTTTAAAGGAAGTATTTCACGATACCTTTGGTATCGTGGTGGTACTTGTCTTCTCTTCTATGAGCAAAAAAGACCATCTATGGATGTGGGCCTAAGAATAGCTATTACTTTGTTCCATGTATTTTGCTGGTTTTCTCTCTATTTTCCTTAAGGCAACAAATGCAAGACTGTCACTTCATCCCAGCACATTTTTCTCTTCACTTCAAGCTAGCAAGACGAAAAGTCACACAGAAAATGCCATTGCACTTCCCTCTTTTCCAATTCACTGTGTCCTTGGACACATATAATGCCTGCCTAGAGAGCAAATCCCCAGCTGCTGCTGCTCAAGTATTGTGCAGATGGAATTAAAAGAAAGGAGAGAAGTAGAGTCTAAATCCTGAACTTCTGGGTCCTTTCTTTTCTCATATCTGAGAGACTCAAACATATGTCAAAACACCAGGTCCATCAGCTCATGTCATGAACATCTGTGTTTTTCAAAGATTTTTACAGGAGAGAGATTGAGAGAGATTTTTTTTTACCTACCATATGTCATTAATGTATTTGCTTCTTTCCTGTTGCTACTTTATATGCTTATATTTAAATATATGCTTTCTTTCTCATAACTCGTCCAATTCTTCTCCTCCTCTCCAGTAACACAGAAATGCTCAATGTGTAGTGTGTGTCTCTGGTGTCCTGTTGTTTGTGATAAGTGAAAGGAGATAAGGGTTTGTTATATGCATCCTTTCTTTTAAGTTGTGCGTGCTACAGATTTTGAAATAGGAAGAAAAAATACTGTAAAGCTGCAATTGAAATAAATGAAATCTTCTGGAAAGAATCATCAGGGCATACTACTAAATATCAAAATAAAAGCCATCCCATGCAGAGCAGGTTATATTTGGCATGCCTCTACTGGCTAAGTAATGTATCCGATTTGGCTCTTTGGTTCGGAAAGAGGATTAGCCAATGTCTGACAGCTATTTTTCTATTTGTGGAATATGAGCTTATTCAGTTTTAAGGGCTCTTTTAGGAAATTGGCCTGTACCTGTAAAAAAAAGGTTCAGCACAACGTATCATTAATAAAATAGAATTTGCACAGAGGAGGTCACTTTCCAAAGCATTTTTGTATAAATCAGAATTTTCAGGAGAAAAATGAAGAAAATAAAACCTCCTCACCTGTGTCACTTGATGCCCTCCAGAAAGTGTGTAGAGCCTTGTGTTGATTTCATACCTCTTAGATTAGTAAATACATTGCTGTTAGCCTTGTATAGCCCATATGTGATTATGACCATGAGCTATCTGTGCCTTGAAATGTGTTTACATGGTGACTCTAAGGAAATCCTTATCTTCTCTCTGAACATTTTGTCTTTCTGTCTGTGTTTTCCTGCATGGCAAGCATCACTTAATGAACCATGTGTATAGTAATATCATTTGTATTTAACACTGTCTTTATAACTGTTTGCGCTGCTAGCTGCTACACTGAAGCAACCATGCTGTTCTCAAGGCAGTCAACCCTTGATGATTTAGATGGACCAGACACTGTTCCTAAAACAAGTGAGCGCGCTCGACCTAGGCTTCGTAAAATGCACAGCATGGATATGTCCTCTTCATCAGCTGACAGTAGCAGTATAGTGTCAAGGTGCTTAACTCATGCATGCTTTGTTCACTCATTTACCCTGACCATTATACTTTTTGCAGTGTATAGAAATCTGCATTTGCAGATATGTGTTGTACAGAGTGATTTGCATGATTAACGGAAGCTTTACTCCCTTCTTTGTCGTGGCAAGATTCTGAGGTTCAATGTCAAGGTTATAAACTAGGACTGACTGACTTACTGTTTCACTTCTTTTTGTGTGATTTTTTAAAAAATCTTTTATTCATATATTTTTTTTAACTTTTTTTCCAGTACATTAACCTGGCTGTCTAAAAAAAGACTCCTAGTTCCATATTTTTTCAGCTAAAAAAGGATCTGATTTTCAGCGTTACTGAACTGATGGTTGTTCTGATTGCAATTGGAGCCTGGAAATACAGTTTTTCAGTTAATCGGTTATCCTAAATATGGACCTAGGATTCTAATTTTAGGAACTAAGGCAAATGTAGACCCTGCTCTTTCAGTTTTTAGTTTTCCCCTGCATAGGAAAGATCCTTAAATATGTTTTGATTTCTTCACCATTGATTTCCAGTCTATAAAGTGTTGAAATCAGGAAAGGGAGAATTGCTATAAAAAGATAGTGAATATTATTAATATACTATGCAAGAGAGAACTGTTCAGGGCCATTCACTCACTTTTTAGCAGGCCAAAACCATGGAGTTATATGACATTGGGAAATAAAAACAATATTTCAACTAGTATTACAAATACGAAATTTTATGGCATATTAGAACATTCTCTTTCAATATTGACAGTTTTGCAAATTTTTGGTCTTAATCAGTTTTAAAGTGGTAAGATTTTACATTCTTGAGTAGTTTAACCAGAATGATTGCTAGCAGGATTCATCAAAACATGCATTATAACACTAATTCTAATACTCTTGCAAATTCTTATTAAAAGTCTACTAGAATAAGTCAGTCTAACCTAACCACAGTAAGTTTGGAAGCAGTGTAAAAGGAAAAAAGATGGAACTTTATTTTGAACTTTGGCAGGAGATAGTAGTTCCAACTACTAACCTTTCTTTTAAAGGTAATTCTTGAGGTGAAGTGAATGGCCCCATTCACTTCAGTGGAGCTATGTGAAATCTGTTTTGTCTCTGAGATGCAAGAGCATGCAGCTGACAAAAAACACTGTCTTTATGCCAGTTGCCTAGCCTTTGGAGAGGGCCTGGAACGAGACTGTAATGAGAAAGAGTGATGTTCCAGGGGAAGAAAAGGGTGAAAGCAAGGCCAAGAAAATATGTTAAAAAAAAGATGGTGCCTAGATTCCCACGTGGAATCATCAAACTGCATGAATTTACGTCAGCTGAGATTCTGTTGCAGAAGACAGAGCAATAGGAGGGAGACAGGTTATGGACATGCAAAGCTGGGCATAAGCAAGGTGAACAAGCAGAGAACTGAACAAAATAATTAAGAACAGTTGAAAAGGAAAATAGGTACATATGGAAGAAAAACAGGCAGATAAGGTAAAAAATGAAGATGGTAAAAATGAAGAACATAGGGCAATCTGAAGGTAAGCAAGATACCCTGTTACTAGAACAGGTTTTAATGTGGATTGTGTTTCTCCATGTTTGCAATTTACTTGTTCTTTTATTGGCTTAGATTCAGACTTGATGTGTGAGTGTTCAGCTGGTATTCCAGCTGTATACAGCACCTCTTTGAAACCATAAGGTACTTGTTAAAAGCACCATGTTTAAGAGGAAGTACGTGGATCCCCATAGTTCACCATGGAGCATGCTTTAAATAAATGTAATAGCAAGTTCCAATTCTGGTCACAAAGGGCTTCAACTGCTTTCAGAAAGCTGGGTGTAGTTTCTTTTGTTGGTGGAATTAATTTGTCCTTTGCTGGTGTGAAAAGATGGTGAATCACTGTGAGTTCACAGGGAAGTCACTTGGGGCAGAGGGACCCAGATGGTCTATGTATGTGAAAGGAGATCCTGGTGATACGTTTTCTAACAAATGATGTGAACTGTAAGGGCCAGAGAATGCAGCGGGTTTGCTCAGCTGTCTACATACAGGTACAATTACCAAACTTTGCTCAGCATTGAGCCTTGTGAGCCTCAACTCTCTCTTCGTCCTGTTCTTGACAGTGAACCTACACAGGTCACCATGCTCTGTTCTCGTCAGGGGACAACAGAAACCATTGAGGAGGTAGAAGGGGAGCATGATGAGGAAGGAGTGCATTCTGCATCAAGACAGGAGGAAGAGGAGGTGGAAGATTACAGCCTGGATTCAGAAGGAGCTGCATATACTCCTGATACTGATGTGCCATTGTATTCCACCGTGGATAGCAATGTAGAAGCCCCACCTTCCTATAGCAAAGCTGTCAGCTTTGAACACCTTTCCTTTGGTTCCCAAGATGACTCAGCTGGTAAGAGCCTCATGATGGTGAGCCCAGATGACAGTCGGACGGACAAACTTAATGATACAATTCTCCCTCCGCTGACGCACGAGCTAACAGCCAGTGAGCTGCTTCTGAACAAGTAAGGACCTTTGACAGGGAGAAAGTTTTGGTCCCAGTCTGTGAAGTTTTGCCATGATTTCCTTTTTGCCCTCAAAACTAGCCTACAGTTTCTGATAAAGACCCTGTGCTAAGTTTGATTTAAGGGAAGAAGCTCATTTCCTGTGCAGTTGCTCTAGTTATAGATTTCAAAAATGATTCAAATGCATGTGGGAAAGAATCTCCACTACTTCCCAAGATACTGTAGCTAATTGTTCCAGTTAGCATCGGATTTATGTGTTAGTAATTGTCATGGATCAAGGGCTTTTCTGAACATCCCACGTGGAGAGGTTTTCTCTTCTCCAGAGAGCTGTGATTGCAAATAAGTTTCTTCCCAGGGCTATCTTGGAAAATGTTTCTCCTTTAACTATTTTGGATTACTATAAGGGAAACTCTGACCTTTGGCAGCATTTTTGTTAAAGCCTGTAGGAGCTAAGGGTAAGAGCTATCTAGAGAGACTACCTTGCCTACATGCTCTCATAAGAGATAGGATGCTCCCCTATTTGCTCCTCAGCCGATGTGCTTATAGCACACCCAGTATTCAAGGGGGGTTGGTGCCACTGCTCTCCTTCCTCTGCTTTCTGGCCTATCTCCACTGGGGAAGAACACCCATGAATACAAGTACAAAATCTGAAATTGTAGAAACCTCTTCTAGTGTAACCACAGCTAGACGAAGAGGCTGTATAGATCTGACTTTGTAGATCTTTTCTTTACTGACTTTGTAGTCTTTTCTTCTGGGTGCCCATGATCCTTTTTGGTTTTTAACTGTATCTCTTTTTAGACCAGGACACTTCTTATGAAAAGCAAAGAGAAGTGTGAATGTATGTGACAGTTATGTAATAACTTCATGCTGCTTTTTCTATTTCGTTGATTTAGGTAGGTGAGAGGAGATTGGACACATCTACTGCTCAAAGCCATTTATTATGTTGTAATGTTATGTCGCAGTGCTAATCATACCACTTTGTATGTGTCCTGATGGACCTCTAGAGTTTCTCCAAATTCATATCTGTGTTAATAAATCAGATATGAATCCAGGCATGGCCACATCAGAAGTTTGCTGGGTAAATTAAAATATAGCAAAACAGCGCTTCTAAGCATTTTGCTTGAAATTCTTGTTTGTGGACTTAAAATCAGGCTATTTGATTATAATACCAAATCCCATTCTTTTTTTTTTTTTAATTAGACTCTCCAGCAGAATTTTATACCATTTCAAATGGGAAAATTGTAGCTATTTAAAAAGTAGCTCTTGTTTATTTAAATATCATTTCATTTATGGTGCTCTCCTCTTCACAGGATGTTTCATGACGAAGAACTAGAGGAATCAGAGAAATTCTATGCTGGTCAGCCTCGAGTCTTGCTTCTTATTTATGCCCTGTACAATACCCTGGTGGCCCGGTCAGAAATGGTGTGCTATTTTGTGATCATCCTTAACCATATGATCTCTGCCTCCATGATAACCTTGGTGCTTCCCATCCTTATCTTCCTTTGGGCCATGCTGTCTGTTCCTAGGCCAAGCAAACGTTTCTGGATGACAGCCATTGTCTACACTGAGGTATGCTGCTGTTTTTGCAACCCTGATCATCAAAAACAGAAAAGAAAAGTTAAATTGTAAGCTTTGCAGCTCACATGCAAAGCCATGGCAGCATGGCCTCTTTTCTGTATTAGAACTATAGGACTGATGCCTTTGGCATTATTTTAATATAAATATTTGCTAAAGTTCTCAGCCATTTGTATGGTATAGAAGGGTCTTGTTTGTGTTTTTCTTCACTGCAGTGAGCAACATTACGGAGGGAACATGAACCGTTGTTCCCCTGTAGCAGTGAAGATGCTTGTTAATCTTGTTGTAAAACTGACAAAGTAGACATATTTCTCCCCTCTTAATGGCATGAGACTATTATATCTGCCATGCTTTGAAAATACCCCAAGTGTATTCTGTTTCTGGACAGGTGGCCATTGTTATCAAGTACTTCTTCCAGTTTGGCTTCTTCCCTTGGAATAAATATGTGGATTACACAAAAGATAAACCTTACCATCCACCCAATATTATTGGCATTGAGAAGAAAGAGGGTTATGTGCACTATGATCTCGTTCAGCTCCTTGCTTTATTCTTCCACAGATCCATTTTAAAGGTAACCTAAGCTCATGTGACTTTTTTATTTTATGTTTATTTTGTTATAGTCATTCATGTGATATCCCAACACAACAAATCTGTTTCCCCCTCTAGAAATACAGCAATACAGAAATACAACGTTAATGTGCTCTCCTCTTCTTTTTTTCACTAGTGCCATGGATTATGGGATGAAGACGAGAAAGGGGAGAACTCGAGTAGTAAAGAGGATACTGATGATGAGCTGTCCCTGACAGGAGGCAGGAGAGACTCTTCTGGCTCTCTGAAATCCGTCAATCTCGCAGCGTCGGTGGAGTCCATCCATGTCCACTTCCCCGAGCAGCAGACTGCTATCAGGAGGAAGAGCTCCAGCAGTGGATCACAGCTTTCACACAGGTCCAGCTTCTCATCACACAGATCTAAAAGAGGTAAATGTTGTGGCACTGCTGGGATTTGAAGAACAAACACTCATTTCCCATAGGATCATCCTACTGAGACTTTATGCCTATTGCTATGGAGAACCTGGAGAGTACTGAATGCTGCTGCTCTTCAGTGAGGAAATAGGATATGAACCAAAATGTCTTTGTTTTTGAATGCACTCCAAAGCTTCTTGAAGTTCAAATGTAGAACCACACTTGGTGATTCACTATGTCTTTACAGTGACATTATCCAAAAGCTGGGAAAGGAACTTTCAGTGTGGCCCAGATCCAGAATTTTGGGTTCAGCATGATCTCCAGCTAGAAAGAATTCAAAGAATATGTATTTTTCATATGAACATTCAATGGTACTTGAAGTGAGAAAAAGTTGTAATTAGGGATGCTGGATACCTTTGTCACCTTCTGAAAAGGAAGGACTTGCCTGAATGTATATATTACCAATCCATATGATTGGCCAGACCAATCAAATATTTGCCTTTATCATTAGTCTTCTCTTTTTATAGTTATTAATCAGGTTTTGATCTTTGAAACCTTTACTGGATGCTCTCAAGATTTTATCATATCAGAAAAAAAGTGTAAGAAAGCATTTCAAAGTTTCTTTCAAATGTGGGACTCGCTCATATTTTGGGTGAAGTCTCCAGGTTGATTACTTCCTAGTGTTTGTATCTGAACTTTGAATTTGAATGAGCTTTTTTCTTACTCTTCTCTTTCCTTTCCTTTTTTTTTTTCCAGGAAGCACCAGTACACGAAACAGCAGTCAGAAAGGAAGCAGTGTGTTAAGCATCAGGCAGAAATCTAGGAAAGAGCTTATTATGGAAAAGTTTCGAGAGCAAATGATCAAAGCCAAGGCATTTACAGTTAAAAAGTGAGCACTGTGAGGAGTCATGTGGGTTTGGGGGGAGGTTCCACATCGCTGACTGAAACAGGAAAATAGCTTTTTAAAGACTGCTAGTTACTACTTCTGTTAATTCAAGGGGATGAATGGATCCATGTACTATTCGCTAGATGGGTATGCTTTCACTGTAATTCACACCAGCTGAACTTCAGACAAATCAGCAGGGGTTCAAATAACACTGAAGGGTATTCATGTGTCTGATAAAAAGCTAAATATCCTATGTGAACTGAGTTGGTTGACTATGTATATTTTGACTGAACAAATGCTAACATAGTGCTAGAGAAGCAATCAGTACAAGGAAGTGGTGTCTGTGAAGCCCTGTAGAGACCGCCAGAGAAGCATATTTTTACATACATTAATGATATCATACTTGGTTATTCTTTTCCTCAGTGCAAGTTACAATGTTGTTAAATTGCATTGCGGTCTATGTTGTTTTAGGGCTCTCCAAGTGTATGTGCCCATCAGACAGTTTTTCTACAATCTTATTCATCCAGACTACAGTGCGGTGACTGATGTGTATGTGCTGATGTTCCTTGCCGATACAGTGGACTTCATCATCATTGTGTTTGGATTTGGGGCTTTTGGGGTAGGTCATATAAGGCATCTATCCGTAAATTCTTGGTTGGGACCTTTGCTGTAATTGCTAAGTACTGTGTGGAGTGTCCTCCTACCGCAATCACTCTGTTGTACATTCCTTTTTCAGAAACACTCTGCAGCAGCAGATATCACCTCTTCACTATCAGAGGACCAGGTCCCAGAGGCATTTCTGGTGATGGTGCTCATTCAGTTTGGTACCATGGTGGTAGACCGAGCACTGTACCTCAAAAAGACTGTCATGGGAAAGGTCATCTTCCAGGTCATCCTTGTTTTCGGAATACATTTCTGGATGTTCTTTATCTTGCCTGGAGTGACAGAAAGGTATTAACCCTTACAATCAGACAGTACCTGTTGAATAGTGATGTGCTACCAAGTTATTTGAACTTAAATATGAGATGGTTATAACTAAGTTTTGGAATCATGAATAGGTTTCCCCTTGGTCTCATTTCTAGGCAGAATATCATAGCACCTTTCCACAACAGTAATTGTGGCTAACATAAAGGAGTTTGAGGAGGGAAAAACTAAATTATATAAGCATGTACTGAAATAGTCTCAACTTAAGCCAGAAAGAAGGTGAGCGAGCCTATGATCGAGTGGTTAGGGCACTCAGCTGAGGCAAGGTTAGCCCATGTTCCATTCCCTGCTCTCAGGTCTGCTTTGCATCTTTTAAGAGAGCATTTCTGGATACAAACTGAAGTAACCCAGGGAGTCCTGATCAGAATTTTGTTCCACTCCCCTTCCAGCTGAATGTGATGCCTTCTTGCCTTTAAGCCTTCCTTTTTCATCAGAAATCTTGCTTTTTTAGCTGCACATGAGTTTAGAAGTGGCTGTAGCAAATATGTCTCTCCAGAGTAACTTACAACTTGGCACTGTCCTGGAATGTGTGAGCTATGGGCTTAAATCTCCTCAGACTGAGGAGGGTCTAAAGCCCATGCCTCTTCAGAACAGCAAAAGTTATCCTCCTCTGCTACTGCCACATCACTTTGGATAGCATGGATACAGTCACGTCCTCCATGAAATACTGTATCATATGCCTGGTCAAATTCACTCCCTAAACTAATGTTTCTTATTGCATGGCTCAAGGTAGTTTTCACCTCGGCCTGTATTGCAAAAGTGCTAATGTTCCCTCTCTAGCTAGTGCTTAGGCTGACTCCACTCTGACTTAGGACTTTAAATTGCCTAGAATCATTTACCTCATTTTACTGACTGTGTAGAGAAGTTGGGTATGTTACCTGGGCACGTTACAATTCATAAACAATCAAGATATTTTACTGGGAAAAATAAAATAGGTGCATAATGTAAATGAAGACTGAAAGGCCTGATTTCCTCTTAAAAACAGCTTTTATATTTTTCCTCAGTGCAGCCATAATTGCACCCTTATTTAAAAAAATGCATTTTTCAAGTGGATCTCCTATATGCTGAGCCTTGAGAATTGTGATTAAATTTTTGGCTTGATTTGGCTACTTGGAAAAAAAGCAATAAAATTCTTTCGACTTTTCTGTGCCTTTATTAAATGTTTATCTCATGTTGTTGATCTTAAATCTACATTTGAGACCTGCTGTGTTCATTTTAAGTCGGGCTGATTCTTAGAAGTGCATGCAAGTTTCATAACGAGAATAGTTTTCTAGGTTATAACTGGAACTATTGGATCATCTAGAGCTGACAAGCCCGGTCTGTCATGAAGCATTTCCTGCAGTTCCAGCATGCTATCACGCTGCAGTCAGACTTAGAAATGGCAAATGTTCACCAAGACGGTCAGGGGGCTGGAGTACCTGACATATGAGGAAAGGTTGAGGGAACAGGGTTTGTTCAGCCTGGAGAAGGGAAGGGGAGGAGGGGAGCTTACTGTTGTCTTCAGCTACCTAATAAGAGGACACTGAAGAGGAGCGGAGCTCTTTTCAGAGGTGCACATCCACAGGACAGGAAGCCACAAGTTAGAACAAAGGAAATTCCAGTTAGATATGGTGAAAAATTTTTGCCATAATGATAGTCAAGTGCTGGAGCAGGTTGCCCAGAGAGGTTATATGAGATTTTTAGAGCTATCTATCTTTATAAATATTCAAAACTCAACTGGACAAGACCATAATTAGACCTGAGTCAAGTGGGTGGGGACTGGAAAAGATGATCTTCAGAAGTCACTCCAACGTAAATTCTTGTACGAGTCTATGACCTTCGAGGTGCCTAACTGAACACTGATAGCCACTAAAGCTGATTAGAATCAGTCCAGAGAACAGCTCTCTGAGAAATGAAGAGGAGCAGCATCTACCCAGGACTCACAGGAGGTGCACCATCGCAGGGGCTGAGGACAGTGGTCTGTGTGGTCTAGCGAAGTGCAGCTAGCACCCAGAGGGACAGAGCGCTGCCCCAGAGCCCTCATGCTCTTTGGGGAGCCTGTTCCCAGTCCTCCTCTGTGACCCAGAGCTAACAACAGGCACTGTTTATGTACTTCCTTATCCAGCTTCTTGCAAATTATTGTATTACCACTGCGGTGGGGTTGGAAACCAAAGACTTTTCACAGGTCCTTAGGAAAAGGAAGCACAAAGCATCTCAGACTAATTCAGGCATACACAGATACAAAGCTCATCGTTTTCCTTTATCTGTCTTTTCCATTACAGGAAATTTAGCCACAACACAGTGGCCCAGCTCTGGTATTTTGTGAAATGTGTTTATTTTGGCTTATCAGCATATCAGATACGCTGTGGATATCCGACTCGTGTTCTTGGCAACTTCCTCACAAAAAGCTATAACTATGTGAACCTTTTCTTATTTCAAGGGTAAGTCTAGACCTACTGTCCCCCTCCATTCTTTTCTGAAATATGGATCTGTTGTCACTGAGATGCCTGGATTATTCAAGACTTGTCTTCACAGGCTGCTGGAAAGGAGTCAGTAAGACTGTGCACAGGGCACTCCTCTGTAGATGCCACATGTGCCCAGTAGTCCATAAAAAATCTATTATTTCAGGAATACAAATTTTAGAAAAATCAGCTTCCCACCCTGCATCCAGAAGCTTGACTTACCAATCTGTCATTCTGTTAAGGCACCAATGGAAGAGACATTTTTAACACTTCTAACAAATCACCTCTGTGACCAGCGTTAGGGGCTATATGTTGTGCTAGAAAACAGAATTATTCCCTGTGCAGTCCTAAAACATAGTATGGTATCAAATCCCCAAAAGGTCATTGGAGTTGATCTGAATGTACTACCTCAGTGGGTGGGAAGGAAAATAAAGTGAAAGACAGTACACAGGAGAATTAAAAACTATGCATCAAACAGTGTTTCTTCTATGTATCTTTCTTAAAGTGCTGCATATTTGAAGCTCTTCAGGAGTTAGGAATTTTAGTGCAAGTAACAGGCAAAGCGTCACCTCAGAGTGAAAGATGGTGTTAGGAAGGCATAACCACCCACCATTTATGCTGTTACCATAACGTTTTGTTTGAGCTGGTTAAAAGCATAAACACGTATGTCACAGAATAAATGGAGTATTTTTTGTTCTAATAATGTCAGTCTTTTCCCAATATTTTCGGTATGGGCTTGTTGTATTCCACGAGGAAAAGTTATAGAAGAAAGCTTTCTTTTCACATGAAATAGTCTTTGTGGCCTGGCCAAGCAGAAAGGTGTGGGAATAGTAAAGGGAATGGTGCACTTTGGAAAGCTGCTGTGTGCTTATTGGCTTCCTCCTAGCCCACCCTCTCCTTCTGTTTAATCCAAAGTCATAAAGCCCAATTCCCTATGCAGTTGAGGACTGTCCGCCTACTGTAAAGAGGGAATGCACAACATGGTGTAAAGAGGTATAAGACACATTCCCACCATCCTGTAAAAGAGCCCTGTTCCTCTACTCCCCTCCCAGATCCAAGCGATTTGGCTGTACAAGGAAATCCATCCTGCACTGTTCCATCAGTGGTTCATGCATGCAGTGGTTCATGCCGTGGTTACACCCTGTAATTACAGGGCATAATGATGCAAAAGCATGTTTTTTGGCCTCACAAGGGGCTCTGTGTGAGCTGTGGCAAAAGCTACCATGCTTACAACATCAGTACTAGCCAAGCCATCTCAGGAGATTACTGCATTCAAGTTTGCAAAATTTCCCATTAAAATATCTTTTCACATTGGTTTAATCCTCCCTCTTGTGATACGTTTTCTGTGCTCATTTAATTTGATCCTTCTATTTCTGACAATTTTCTCTTGTGGTCTCCCTTCAGATTCCGCCTGGTTCCATTTTTGACTGAGCTGAGAGCAGTAATGGACTGGGTTTGGACTGATACCACGTTGAGTCTTTCCAGCTGGATCTGTGTTGAAGACATCTATGCGCACATTTTCATCTTGAAATGTTGGCGAGAGTCAGAAAAAGTAAGAAAATCCTATATGAGTGATCCAGGCCTCCTGTCCCTTGTGAAAAAAATGAAGACAAATAATCAAAAGCCCCTAGATAACTGGGAAATCCACCATAAAGACAGTTTTCTAGAAGACGCACCTGGAGTTCATGTTCAGAAGTATTCAGACTATCGGGTACCTTATGTTAGTTGGCAGTCACCGCAAGTGAAATTTCAAATGGCTTCTCCTTTGCGCCTGATTTTTCCACCATTAACATGAATTCCACAAACACATGTATGCTGGTTTAAATGCATACCTGAATTTCAAGGATGGGACTGAAAGGCCTGATATTCACCCAGGCTCAGTTCATACGTAACGAAATGAGTAACCTGCTGTAGCGTGAAACTTTAGCTCAAAAGAAAGGTCAAGGCAGGGAAGAGTCCATACCTCCATGCTGTAGGTCTTGAGGATTCCTCTCTAATGTAACTGCAGAGAGAGCTCAGCTGGTTTCTTTAGCTTGGGAGAGTCCCCACACATCTAAATGTGAACTGCAGACCAGAGAAACCCACCGTTTGTTTGATTGAAATTTCAATCTCTCTAAATCATTTAAGCTTCAGTTCAAATTAAACTTGCAAATTCTGGATTCCTTATAGCCTCTTGAAGATTGCAACCATATGCTTCCTTATTTTGCCAAATTGAAAAAGAAATTAAGCATTCTTTTAAGAGTGTCCCAACCAGTAAGAAATTGTACATCTGCAATGAAATGGCTGCGTTTTTAAGTGTTACTGACGTATTTCTACTTTTATTATAATCCTGTCTGTTAACGGCGCTTACTTTCCAAGTATGTCAGTTAGATTAACTGAGAGCTGAAATGCACACAAATCTTGTATATAGGCCTTTTTCTTGTGTGACTTATATTTCTGCCATAAATGGAGTGTCATCAGAGGCTTCAGGAGTCAGAGAGAGAATAATCCAGTTCTGCTTTGACTATCCATCTTGCTGCATTTTCTTTACCCTAAATCAGGATCACTCTTCATTATGTGGTCTTAAGGGGGAAAATTTCCAAGTGTAAGCTTGCATATGTGAATTAATGCCATAAAGCAAAATAATTACCAATAACTTTATGAGTGTTGTTCAAGGTACTTTTAGTTCTCTCTGTCTTTCTCTCACATTGAGTGGGTATGCCTAAGTATTTTGGCTGTTACAGTCTCTCTGAGCTATTCTATAGCAGCATTAAAGGTGCCTGAACTAATCTCAAACAGATAAATAATGTGCCCCCGGTGATCCTGATGTGAGATTTTAATGAAAACAGTATTCTGTAGTGCAAGACAAATGATTTGATACAAAGCTTTTGAAAAGTAACTAATTTGTTTTAAATATAGCATTGTATTGCAAATTTAATATTCTCCTAGGGCTTTATGGGTTCATGTTGTAAAGCAAGAACAATTTCCTGAAAGCCAGATTCCTGGCATGTGTATGAGGTGCAATGCAATACAATGCATCTTTATTTTGCAAATGCAGTGTGTGAAAGACAGGGTCCTAAAACATTGTGCGGAGTAAAATCCTGTATGACAATATACCAGAATCAATTACAGTGATGGAAATGCATTATACAGGATGGCGAAGCTATTAAAGCATTCAGTCATGGCCGATAACAGAAGGAGAGAGTTATGGACAAGGGAGAACAGATGTGCTGTCTGGTCTGCTTTGAAAAGGGAAGGATAAAAGCAAGATCATTCTTGGTCTCAGAAGCTGAGTGAGGGAAGGATGTCAAATCAACAATGGCCAGACTTTAGAAACAGCAACAAAGATTGAAGCATTATTTAAATTGAGTTGGTGTAGAATTCACTAAGAAACAGACTGGATCAAGCCTGTGAACAGCTCTTAGAAATAATGTATGCATGTATGTGAGGTGTGAAGTGAATGTGGGACTAGTGCAACATCAGACAATCCTATTGCATTGTGCGTATCAGTTGCTGGCAAATAAGTATTATTTTTCCTGAAATGCAGTTTGCAGTGTTTCAGGCTGTATGGGAGGAATTCCGCCTTAAGAAGGTTTGAGATAAATTTATTTTTCGAAGTGCAAATACAGGAAAGCTGGCCTCTTCCAATATCAGTTTTTTGAGCAAATTGTTGTATTATTGTTGCTATTGCTATTTTACTTTTAGTTCCTGTGGTTTCATGTTTGCACTGGCTCAGACAAAAACTTAAATTATTAAACCTGATTTTTCCTGTCTTTATGGTTGTGAGGAATCAAAACCATGGAGGTTTACAATGTTTTTCACACCAGACACACACTTGACATGGGTTCATTTGGTCCTCATCTCTGCAGCTGCCAGTAATTCAATGTCTGTTTAGGTTTGGCTAAAAAACTAAATACAAATTACTCCAGAAGATTAGAATCCTTAAGATCATTATTCTTGCACTGATCAGAGCATACCAAAATATTCCACTGATAGAAGACATATTACCATGTTGTTTTTTGCTTTTTCAGAGATATCCCCAACCAAGAGGCCAGAAGAAAAAGAAAGTTGTGAAGTATGGAATGGGTGGCATGATTATCGTCTTGCTGATTTGTATTGTCTGGTTCCCACTGCTCTTCATGTCTTTAATCAAATCTGTTGCAGGCGTCACCAACAAGCCTCTAGATGTATCAATCACAATAACTCTAGGAGGTTATCAGGTAAAGAAGAAGAAAAGACTAAAAGAAATTGTTGGTTTTGCACTGTGTTTCCTTGCGCTATTCCTTATTCCTTACATTGAGTTTTCTGAGTGAAAGTCTCCTGGTGAATACAGGAGATCAAACTAGTTCACGCAAATGATCCCTTTTGGGTTTAAAAACATGTTAGTTTATCACTGATGTAAAATATTACCTTCACTTGCAAGCTAAAAATAGAACCTGTTGCCCGTAGAAGCTGCATAAATTAAACCACATCTGGCACACTGAGGTAGCTGCCTACAGGTCCATGTGATAAATGGAGGTAGCTTGCTTCCTTGTGAAATAAGATCATAACCTTCTTCTGGCAAATTGAGTACTGTAATTGTCTTAGACTGTGATACACAGAATGCTGTATTGTGTTTGTAGCAGCTAGTATGAATTAAAAGTGACAAATGTGTGTTCTTTTGTTTCCCAGCCTATTTTTACAATGAGTGCTCAGCAGAGCCAGCTCAAGGATTTGAATCAGACTGGTTTCAATGCATTTCTGGGAAGCTATAGGGGTAACACTGTAAGTGAAATGTAGAATATCTCATTATTTAAAAATGTGTGCACATTTCCATGGAGGCTTTTTGGGAGTTTTATTTGTGTAGTTATAAGTGGTCAGCCATACTGCTGTCATTGGGAAGATATGGCCATAAAGACAGTTTGCAAGAGTAACAGTTCACACAGATCATGTTTGTCAGGCCAGGATTGGGTTATAAAGAAAGAAGTTGTCCTTAATCATGGTATCATTGCACAAACTGATGGAAGATAAAAACTCCAGTTGTCCTGTTGCCTGAATAAAAACCTCCCCTCTAAATGACACAAAACTTTGGTAGACATGTGGCTCTTGGTTTAGTGCCAAAACAAACATACTTTGGAGACCCAACAGTCTTGACCCTTTTAAGCCAGAAGCTGCTTCTAGAAATGCACACAGCTCTCACCTCCCAGTGAGGAGACATGGCGCTGAAAGAGGCAAGTGTGTTTGGCCTGAAAAAGTTTTGACAGGAAAATGCCTTAGTTTTGGCATAGTCTCACCATTTCATGGTGCAACATGCACAAAGTTATCAAATATTTCTGTAGCAAAAAGGATGTATTCAACAGAAATTGTTGCATGAATTTAGGAGCCAGGTTTTGATCGAATGCCCCTTTCAAAGAAGTGCAGTTTAACTTGCTTGTAGCCCATTCAAGAACTAACATTTTTTAACGTGAGGTACTACCAAATAGCCCTTGTCTTAGAACAGTAATATTACAACCTTGTTCTATTTTGAAAAGTATTAGTTGTCTTATCACTTGTGCACAGACAACATCTTTCTGTGCAGAATGGCACATTTTTGCTTAACCCAAGAAAGTAAAATTTTAATAGATATGTGAAAACTAAAGAGAGGTGCCAGGTGTCTTGTGGCTCCAGAATATTACCAGACATTGCTGGAAGTGTGAGCCGTCCTACAGTGGCCAGGCTTGATGCATAGTTTGTACAATGACTTACATTTTGTGCTGACCGCTGATAGTATTTGAAGTTTCAGGGAAGCAGTGTGAAGTGTCAGAAGTATTGGTCAAAATTGGTGGGTACTGAAAGTTGCGTAGCCCACTGGGTCCTCAAATATAAGCAGGGTTGTTAGAAAGTGAAGAAACTAAGATTAAGTAGACTCTACAGAGGTTACTTGATTAATTTTCAGACTCATTTTGGCCTACTTGGCCATCACACTTCTTTACACAAGAGTACAATTTTTGTTTTGTCTTCTGGCCTTGGCTATACTTAATTTATGCCCCTCCGCATGTAAAGCCCCAGTTGTACCTGAAGAAAACCATCAGTGCAAACCAATGCTCTTATAATTAACCGAGCATTTATAATTCTGCTAGATCAGGAAATGTGGCTGTGTGTCTTGTGAATATCACCACAATGAAATTTCATTTCCCTCTTCTGCACCTACAGGCTGCTTTGCAGTTTCTAGAAGGCTATGGAAAAGAAGATATTACTCTAGCAGATCTAGAAGGGAATTCAAACTCTTTGTGGACCATCAGCCCTCCCAGTAGAGAGAAAATGATACAGGGACTGCTGGATTTTTCGGCTGAGTTCACTGTAGTTCTTTCATGGAGCATTCAAAGGTAATTAATAAGACTGCTGTGAGGCTGCTGGAGCATTTGCCAAGCATTCACCCAGCAGAACAGTTCCACACTGCATTTTTTGGTGTGATTTTCGAGCACATTCTCTTGTACTGCAGACCAAAAAAAACTGAAAGTGGGAAGGAGAGAGGCAGAGAGAAGTGACCTTTGTTACACAGCAGTAACAACTTGTTGCCTGCAATTCTCAAGAAGTAGGAAGAGAAATGGACTTACTTCCAAGTACATGGTTTAAAAATGCAGGGTGGAGTTTTCGATGGGACGTGAGTGGGAGGAGAGAAAAGTAAGGCAGTTTTAGTCACTTTTATCAGTAGATGTTCAAATAAACCCTGCCTCAAGCCACATCTTGTTAGCATTTATGGGAATTGAATGCTTAGGCCTAGTTAGGGAAGGAAAAACAACATTATTATGCTGGATTTGAAAGAGACCTTTTTCATGCTCAAATTATCTCCTGTGGATTATTTTGTAACTCTGACTGAAAGTGGTAAAGGGTTACTGCTGTGGCCTTCCACTTTTTCTCCATAAAGGGAAACTGCTGTCTTTCATCTAGGCCAGGAGACCATGAGCAGCTGTAAGACGAGCCTCTTCTGTCATTCCAGCAGGTCACACACTTTCAGCTCTTTGCAGGTCATCTGCTGGGAGGATTTCTCTGCAGCCCCCAGCAGCCAAAGAGCTATCTTACCCCACCACTGCACCGTGATGGCAGGGCAGGGCACAAGGGGTATGTGAAAGCTGATCCTCTTCCAGCTGTGTCCCAGCCCGCAGAGAGACTGGGTGGGCATGGCGGTCCCGTCAGGCTAGGCTATTGGACCCGCATTGCCGGTGGGGCTGAGGAGTTTCAGGAGCTGTTGTTGACTGCTGAATCCTTAACTCTCCTGGCACTGACTGTGCGCCAGCTGAGATAGTCCCGTAGCCTAGTGGGAAAGCAGTCATACTCCCTTTCCCAGTCTGTTTTCACTCTGACGTGTGAGTAAAATTAAATTCATATGACTCTTTCAGCGTTTTCCTGTAATGCATGCAAAGGCATAATCAGTTAGAGCAAAGCATCTTTAAGACTGTTACATATCCTCAGTGGGCAAACGCACCATCTCAGGTAGAGGTAGCATGATGACTATTTGGCCAGATTTTGAGGGCAGTCAATGTAGTTAGACTAGTTAGGCAACCAGCCTTTGTGTTCAGCAAAGGTTTAGGTTCTGCAGTTACAACTCATTGTAGGTTGACTAAGTGCCTTCTCTTTTGCTCATAACAGAAATCTTACTCTTGGTGCCAGAGCAGAAATAGCATCAGATAAACTTACCTTTATCCTGCCAGAGAACACCAGAAGAGATATTGCTACAATGATGTCTGGACAGCAATTGGAAAAGGTGTAAGTTATTTTCCTTGCTTATTTATGTGCAAGCCTCTTTTTTTAAACCTGATTTCCTAAGACAGAGAGGCTTGTGCAACTGTATCATTAGTCTGCCCATCCATGCCCCTCTAATAACTGTGGACACCTCTGTACAAAGGCCAAAAGCGTTGAAGCCACACAGTAGTAATGTTACTTTAAAGGTACAAACCTATTATCTGTCGTAAAGGCAGGGCGAGGATACAATGAATAGTGGAACACCACCGAGCCTGTTGAAGCTATTAGTTACTTTCCTCTGCTTTATTGGATGAGCACAAGTTCATTAGAGTTAACGTCTCTTCTGAGCTACTTGAGTTCAGCCATATGATTTGAGGGAGCTGTATTGATGAATTTTTTGTTCTAAATAGCTATTCAGACTGTATTGTTCATTATTACTCTTGAATGGGATTAGATTGGCAAGGAAGTATTAAATCACTGTGGTCAAAGGGTAATGTCTGCAGTAGTTTCTGACATCAGATCTTTTCCTGCAGTGGAAATTTGCAAGGCAGCCAGAGTGTTCTCTTCATCAGAATGTCAAACATTATTGTATGGATGTAGCCATATAGCATTAACAGCAGTGGTGCCTCCTTTCAGATTCGAAAGGAATCTGGCTCTTCCTCTTCCTTCTGCTCACTGGGAGTTATTTTACGGCAGTAGTCTCTAAATACTGCTAAGCCAACATTTCGTCCCTGAATGCCACCTGATCTGATCTGTGCCACAAGACTTTAAAAGTTAAAGCTGACACCAGCTGGGAGAGTGAAAGCTCTGAGAGGTTCATATCTGTTAGAAGGTGGAAATGAGATTTATCTTCTCTGTGCACTGCTATTCTTCTGCACGCACACACACGTATATCGTCTTGCACACCTGGTCATTGCATTTAACAAGTACTGCACACCTTATTTACTTCTCTGGCCTATGAGGATATGGAAGTATTTCCTAAGGTGATGTAGTGTCCAGGAGAATAATTTTCCTCTTTTGTGGGAAGTGATACATTCATATTTCTTTCTTCTCATGAGGCAAGCAGTAACATAGAAGCTCCATCTGCGTTTGCATATGTTGCAATAACATTGCTAATTTAAGCTTTTTTAACTTTGCCATAAAAGAAAAATGATTGAGACAGCTAGTAGCCATTTGACTACTTCAACAGGACCTTTCTGCCACCATCTCTGGTGGGACAACTTAGCTGCTGAGGTCCTACCTACCTCGTGGGCCTGCCAGAGCAATAAGAGATTTAAATCAGCCATTTCTGTTCTACTGTACCCTGGTGTATGTAATATAGCAAAGTGTTGGAGGATATCCTTTCCTGGAATTTTTCACTCACTTGAGGAAATGGTTAGGATAGCATCTGGGTGTTTAATGAAATGCCTCTCTTTCTGGATGCTGGCATGTTATTCCCACTCACGGTGATTTAATTTTGTGTCTGAAATCCTCCAGATAATACAATCTGTGAAATATTTCCCAATAAAAGATCTGGGAAAAATTCTCTTTTCAGTTGGTATTATCTAAACATCTTGAAATCCTGAAGTAATACACGTTCTCGCTACATTTTTTTTTAACCTTATTTACCACTGGTGATATGTTGTCTTTTTTTGTGCCGCTTGTATAGCTTACTATAAAAGCAGCTTTGCTAAAAAGAGGCACAAAATATAAATTCTACATTCCTTGCAACTGCACGTGCCCCAGGTATGTAGGATTCATGGCATGTGAATGGGGACATTGTGGATGGAGCTCCCTGGTGAAGTACTGACAGGACATAGTTAATCCAGCTAACTTTCATATGTGACATCTGAACACTGTAAAGTAATAGCTTCCACGAACTTACACCAGAGTTACTGGGATTTGTGTATAGCCCCATTAGGTATTTCTGGATTATTTTAGAGGTATAAAAATATGAAATATTTGCTTTCTCATTTTTTTCCAGTACATTAGAGACAGTGTACCCGTACTACATTAAGGCTCCTAGTGATTCTCTGGCAAAGCCCATAAAGCAGCTATTGACAGGTATGTATCCAGCCCATGGAAAAAAGGGTGTGGTTGAAGGAGTGCAACACAGCACTCGACTTGCACATTCACTGAGTCCTTATAGGGCTTCTGTGGCTGAAATACACTTGTTTCTACCTAACGTCTGCAAACTTGGGAAGAGAAGACATGGTAGAGTACATGGCAGAAGATGCATCTGGGTGTATTTTAACTTTGCATTTAATAGTAAGGTCGCTCAAGATGAAGCCCTGCTGTTCACCTTCAAGTCTTTTTTCTGAGGAACTACTTTCCCATGTCTTCTTAGGAAACAATGACAAGTTTCTCTTCTGTGCATCTCCTTAGTGGTTTACAACAAATAATACTCAGTAGTGCTGCATTTCTGAAAACTACTTTCCCTAGCTCATCAACTTGAAAAATGACACCGAATGACTTTTTTTTTAGCTATTCCTTCCTCACTGGTTACAGATAATCCAGTTTAGATAAATCCTTGGATTTCAAACTTCTATCATGCGTCCAGAATGCATTTAGAAACTCATATACATACAAAATACATGCACACATATGTACATATACATATATGAAAAACACACTGGGTTGGAAGAGAGTGTAGGAACAAATCCTCACCTGAGAACACTTTGCTCAGCAGAGGTTAAAGTTGGTTTTTGGGCTTTTTCTTGAGCACTATGTAGTGCAGTAATGTTCCAGGTTGAGTAAGTGTGATTAGATTAATTGCAAACAGTAATTCTTGAGGCTGGCTCTGACTTTATGTTTAGCAAGAAGTTTCTGTTGCCTCACTATCATTAGTCAGGTTCTGTCCTAGAGAACTCTTAATTTGGGATGCTTCAAAAGGACTTCAGTGTATACACTGCTAACATATGGTCCCCAGAAATCAGAAGCACCAGAGGTCAGCCCCTTATATGTGGTAAGGTATACATAATAGTATAGTACACTTTACATGATATAAAAAAATAACATCTTTTATACCAAGAAATAAATGATTTTCAGGGCAGTTTCACTTAGGCACATGGAAGCTGACCACTGTCTCTCCAAATTAAATGATATGTGTACATTCCTTCATCTCTTTGTCGTGCAAATGATCCAAGTATCTCATTCAAGTTTGACTTGCAATTCTTGGTACATGTGTTAATGTTTCCTTTTTCCAATAGACTGCAGATGGGAAAACATTACTGTTTCCCTGGTCAAAAATGTGTCTGATGAGGGAGTTCGTGAGTGGTGGGTTTTGAATCAGCTTGGGAAAAGATATAAAACATCTGAAGAGAGTCTTGAACTCTTTGTATTCAGTGATAAAGTCAGTCCTCCAAGCCTTGGATTCTTGGCCGGTTATGGGTAAGAAGGAATCTTTACATAAAATTAAAGTAATGTAGATGAGATAGAACTGTAGAACTAGAGGGGACTTTATTTGCTGTGTTTAGTGGGGGTGGTGGAGGGGGGGTGGTGGTATTTCTTTATTGTTGTTGTAATGTTTGAGAAGACCTCAGAAAAGACCCCCCCTCAGAAAGGGGTTTTGTAGTAGTTTCAAATTCATGTCTATTTTGGATACCTATAGAAGACTTCATCTTTATAGGGAATGGTCACCTCCTTACCTGCTCTTCATTGGAAAAAGGCAGTAGCATAGAAGATACACCTGCAAAGTGCCCTTCACACTTCTAGCTTATAAAACCAAATTTTATATTAAAGTAAAACCATTGAAAATAGTTCAATTGCAGGTCCAATTCTGTCCAGTTTTTGCCCCTTCCTCATCTCATGCACCTAGCCAGCACTCTAGGTATGATGCAGTTATGGAATATAGCTCCACAGACAGAAAAGCAGGAGATCTTTCCTCCTCAAGGGGTGTGCCCTCCTGGCATAGCTATGGAGAACTTCCCATATGAGAATTCTCAAGGGGGGTCAAGTAAGGGTTAGTCTGTCACCAGCTGCACATACTTTAATAAAAAACATTAGATATGATATCTGACAGGCCGCTTGCCTTTAGTAGCCAACGGTTGGGAGATTTCCCATTGTGTTCTCTAAGCTGTAGCCGGCAGGATGAAAGGCCATCATCAGTGACTGGTGTTAAATCATATGAACCAGTGGCCTCAGTTGTTCATGTTCCCAGTTTTCTGTGGTGTTTTAAGAGACCTTATTTCCCCCTGTCCTGTAGCACAGCAAAAACAGGACCCTAATTGGAAGTTAATATACACTCAGCTGAAAGACTAAAACTAACTATATAGATGAGCTCCCCTGCACTTGTCTGACCCTTTGTCAAGGTATGGTTTGAACTCTTTCCTTTCTTACTTTTCAGTATCATGGGACTTTACGCCTCGGTTGTCCTGGTGATAGGGAAGTTTGTCCGTGAATTTTTCAGTGGGATCTCTCACTCCATCATGTTTGAGGAGCTGCCCAATGTAGACCGAATCTTGAAGTTGTGTACTGACATTTTCTTAGTGCGAGAGACTGGAGAACTGGAACTGGAAGAAGATCTGTATGCCAAGCTAATATTCCTGTATCGCTCACCAGAGACTATGATCAAGTGGACTAGGGAAAAAACTAATTGATCTCTTTGGTGTTACACTGCGAATCAAGTTGATTTCATCTGAATTTTAAAGAAAAAAAGCACAATATTCTCTTAAGAGCTAAGCCTTTTATAGTTAGGTAGCAAAGGTTTTTCACTGATGGATTCCTGGAAGCTACGACCTTAGGAGTCCATGCTGCCTTTCAAATTAAGGATCAACAGTGAAGAAGGTTGGATGATTTGCTATTTTTAAAGTGCCACTCCTGTAAAATCTGGGGACTGCTTTGTAATTTAATCAACAAAAAATTTGCATCCTTGTCTGGCTAATTTGATTTTCCAGATGATAATTACCCTTAAAGAGAGAAGAAAGGAAGGAGTGAACCCACAGATGACTCCAGTGTACCTTCTTCACCTTTTCTGGAGCCATACAGTTTGGATTGTGCAATATGCTGTTGTACATCACTGACTTTCAAGCTACAGTAATGGGACGCTGACTAGCCTTCAGGACACCCAAGACACAGGGCCGTAGTGGGAGCTGAAGACGTTCTAGCCATTCCCATTTGTAGAAGAGCAGAGGTTTTGATGTACAAAGGACACTGTGGACAAGCCTCTGTTAGCAAAAAGAAAACAAGCAACAATCTCTTTAAATGCCTTATTTTATTTGTACAGTCATAGAAGACATTTCCACCAAACATCAATGACTTTTCTCAGGAAAAAAAAAAAAACAACTGAAACTTGACACTCTGTCAAGGATAACTAATGGCTAGAATAATTATGGGGAAATATTGGGCTGTTCTGCTGGGCCATTTTCTCCAAAGTTACTGCTTTCCACTAGATGAGAAAAGAAGGTCAATTCAATGACATAAGGAGCTACTTCATTTCTTATAACCCTTTAAAGACTGAATAGTGTGTGCTTCTCTCTGCTCCCCATGACATGCTTTTTCCCATTTCGATGATTTAAGGCAACTGTTGTTTTGCTATTAGCTAATATTCTTCCAGTGTTTCAGGTATACAAAAATGTTTACATATTCCAAGTCACATTTTTACATCCAAGACGGGTTTTTTTTAAGTTCCCAAATATAGACATACATATGAGCTTGAAAGATGGCCTTTTTCTTAAATTACTATTATTAGTGACACAAATGGCTCATTAGAGAACATTGTAGCATGAAAATTTACGATTGCATTGTAGGTTTCATTCCATGTTAAAAAAAATATTGAGAAAAAAAATCATTGAGTGGGTAGGGTATGTTAAAAGGGTATACTGTGTAGTTTTGACTCATAATGACTTAAAATAAAGCACATGTTGCAAAGTCATTTTAGAAGTATTTTTTCCTCTGCCTTTTTACATGAAATGGGAAAAGTTTGACGTTCTTCTAATTCTGTGACAAATAAATCACTTTCTCGCAGTTAGCTGCTATTTATTATATGAATGATTAGTTAGTCACCAGAAGGAAAGTAATGCAACATAATTTGCTGGCACATTTTACTGCAGAACTTCATGAAACAGCACAATTCAATGAAGTTACAACATACTCTGCTCAGAGCTTCCATGACAAATGCTGTCACATTCTATACTGTGAAAACCAACATTTTGAGCACTGTAAAGTGCACAAAATAAAAATTGCTTCATCATATTGTAACAATAAAATCAGTCCCTGGAACTCATTGGAAGATAACCTGATCTCCTCCAAAGTGAAATGGAAAGGTGGCTGTTCATACAGCCTGGCAGCAGTCCCCAGCGGAGATGTCTGCTCTGTTTCATCCACAGGAGCAGTGAGTGAGCCTTTCTTGGAAATGAAATACACAGGGCAGCCCTGCCTGACATAGGATCCAACGGGGATGCAATGACCTTTGTGTTTAGATCGATCCTTACCTTCAGAGACTTTAAGGAGAGCAACACTGGAAGGAGGAGTATGAAGGGTGTAATGTATTTCTAAAGCAGAACCATTCTGGCCCCAGTTGGTCATAGCTCCCTGTCTTTAACAGGCACTTACTTTGTGCTGGAAAAAAAAAACAAAAACAATCTATCTGCAGAATGAGCTATACACAGTTCTTTGAACTTTGCAGAAATGTGCTGCTTTTCCTTTCGTGGATCAATCGAGCTTTGAAAATAAAAGTTTTTTTCCTTGCTGTTTTTTTTAAGAACAATCTATAGTCAAATGGGTGGCGTATGGACTGGATAAGTGACTACGACAGGTGGAAAATTGGCTGGGCTGTTGGGCTCAAAGGATGGTGATCAGCAGGATGAAGTCCAGCTGGCAGCTAGTTACTAACGGCGTCCCTTAGGGAATCAATATTGAGCTAATGCTGTTTAATGTCTCTATTAATGACCTGAAGCACAGGACAGAGTACACTCTCAGCAAGTTTGTGGACAACACCAAATCCAGGGGGGCGGGGAAGGGAGGAGAGGGTGGTTGATACAGTGAAGAGCAGGATTACCTTTCAAGTGGACCTCAGGATGTTGGAGAAAAGAGCTAGCAGGAGCTTCATGACATTCGACTAAGGCAACTGCAAACTCCTGCATCTGAGGGAGACTAACCCCCATGCAGGAATTCAGGCTGGGCACTAACAGAGTAGGGAGCAGCTTTGGAAAAAAAGGACATGTCGGGGCGGGGGGAAGGCTTTGCACATAAGTCTGCAGTGTGCCTCTGCAGCATACCAGGCTACATTTACGAAACTACAGCCACAGGTCAAGGGAACTGATTAGCCCCATCTATTCAGCACTTGTGAGACCACACCTGGACAACAGTGTCCAGATTTCAGCTCCCCAGTACAAGAAAGGCACTGACATACTGGAGTGAGTCCAGTGGAGGTCTGGAACACACGACCTGCAGAGGCTGACAGAGTTGGGCTTGTTCTGTATTAAAAAGGGAAGTCTAAGCAGAGAGGTTATTGGCATCTTCAACTGCCTAGTGGGAAGGTATGGAGAAGATGGAGCCAGGTTGCAGAGCTGCATGAAGATAGATAGGTCAAGAGGCAGCAGACAAAAGTTGCAGACAAGGAAGAGACTCACTAGGTACATTAACAAATTGTTTTCATCCTGAGAGTAGTCCAGCACTGGAGCAAGTGCCCAGAGAATTTGTGAGATCTTCATCGTTGGAGGTATTCAAAATTGTACAGGCCCTGAGCAACCTGCTGTAACCAGCTGCACTTTACTTGAGAGGTTGGACCTGAAGCCTCCAGAGGGCCCTCCCATCCTGAATTATTCCATATGGTTAGTATTCTGTTAGGGACACGGTGGCTTACTAAGGGGAGTGTATTTGCTGCTGTGAGAACAACCTCCAAAACCGCAGAATAAAGCTGTCACTGAGGTCTGACGTGACAGTACAGTTGTACAGAAATACTTGTACCTGCTGACACACCTTCTTAAGTCCATGTCCAATTTTGAAGGGCTGAGCAGAGCCAATGAAAGGTCCTATTTTTCCTCTCACACTCTTGTTATCAAGTAATAATGTCTCGCAAGATGCTAACATAAGCCTTTTGAATTGAATTGATGGGATTGAATGGACGTTTAGAACATTACTAGATCAGACTTGGAAAGACATCAATCCTCATAGTTATTTTCCCATGCTTTAGGGCTCCTTCCTGTTTTGTTCAATACATGAGTAGATCTTAAGTGGAATAAGCTTAGGTAAGAACAGAAGAAACAACCTTAAAATAAAAGAAATTGTATTTTATAAGCATCAGTGTTTGCACTTTCATTGCAGGATTTAATATTTTCATACTTCCAAAGAAACCACATCCAATACTCTGTGTCATCAGTAATGATTTCATGTACATGGTGTTGTCACAAAAGGCATTTTTCCAACCTATCCCACAGCTTTTGTGAAAAGAAATTGCAAAATTGTTTCTTTTCGTGACTGAACTGTATTGGTAGTCCATAAAACCCACCCTTATGCCACAGAGAATCAGATCACCGAACCTATGCTTTTCTGATCATTCACAAAGTTAAAGGGGGCCAAGCTAACATAAGATGATAATCAGGGACTTGTCCAGTTGTGTGGTCTGGTGGTCTCCATGGCGGTCTCCATGGATGACTGTGCCACAACCTCTCTGTGGTCTGTTTCTGTGCTTAACCATACATTTTCTTTCTCATATCTTACTGGATTTCTTTTGTTGTAGCTTTGTAGCTTGGCAACTTGTCCTTTCACTGTTCACCCCTGAGAAAAGCAGAACGCTGCTTTAGGTAGTGAAAGACCTTAGGCTTCTCTTAGCCTCAGCCTTGGCCTTCTCTACTTCAGGCTAAACAAACCTTAGCCAAAAACTCACTCTTTTGCACTCCAGCTTCCTCATCCCTCTACAAATTGAACCTACAGCTTTCTCAGGGGTCTCCATCCGGGCAAAGCTCACCTATTGCTGCCTGTGTTACACATTGCATGGTTAAACAGGAGACCTAAGACTAAAATGTTGTGTCTACAGCATGATTACTTTCACTTAGAGCAAAGTGCATAAGGCGAAGTAATGAGAAACAGCCCTTTCTCAAAGTTGCCATTTTCCCTGCATGCACATGGCACTGAAGGCGCTGGAGACTTTCCTGCAGCTACAGTACTAATCTTAAGGCCTTATCCTTTCTACCTGCGAAGTCACCATGTGTGGAAATATGGCCATCAAGCAGGTTCTCTAGCCGTTATGCTCTGCTGCCCTCATCAGCTGGCCCCAAACAGCAAGTTAACTAGCAGGTAACAATTGCTGTGAGGCCAAACTAAAGGACAAATTTTCACAATGCTAATCACGTTATGGTTACCTAATAGAACCAGCCTGATGCTCACATTCTCCAGAGCACAACGCCACTATTTAGCTGGCATGAAGATTGTTTTCCAGGTGCTTCCACAAGACACAGTAATGCTCCCATGATTATTCAGGAAATGATGGCATAGCCTTTTTCAAGGCCCAAGCCCTGAAGGCGTGTAGCCAGGCATGGAGGAAGAAGAACAAGCCTGGAGAGATCTAATGTTGGTGCATTCACATTGAGTTCTTCACAGATTTGGGTGAATACTTTTCCAGCTGTATTTGGAGCATTTTCCTGAGTGCTTGCACAACTCCTTTATGTAGAAGCTTCACTTTACATGAATTCCATGAGATTGTGAAAGGGTTTCTGATTGTGAAAAAACAAAGCTTTTGAAAGCAGCTCTGCCAAGAAGATCCTGGTGGACACCACGTTGACCATAAGAAAGCAATGTGCCTTTGGGGCGAAGATGGCCATCAGCATCCTGAGCTGTGTTAGGAAAAGCATTGCCTTTCCTAAGGGAAATGATCCTTCCCCTCTGCTCAGCACCGGTGAGACACACCTAGAGTGCGGAGCCCAGTGTTGGGCTCCCCAGGACAAGAGGGACATGGACCTACTGGAGCAAGTCCAGCAAAGGGCACAGAATGACTCACAGGAAATCCCTTCTGAGCACAAGGCAGCACTTCTTCATTGTGAGGGTGGTTGAACGCTGGAACAGTTTGCCCAGCGAGGTTGTGGAGTCTCCGTCCTCGGAGCTATTCAGAACCCAATTGGACATGGTCCTGGGCAACCTGCTGCAGCTAACCCTGCTTAACCAGGGAGGTTTGGACTAGGCAGTTGCCAGAAGTGCCTTCCAAGCCCAACTGTTCTGGGATTCTGTGATTTTACTTGATTCACACCATTTAGTGTGAATAGTTTTCTTCATACTTGCTCTTTTGCTCATTAGCTGTGAAGCGCTCATTGTCTGTGACGCGCTTGAGTAGGCAGGGGAGCAGCTGCCTGGAAAGTGCTCAATGGCTCAGTTCAGTAAGTATCAC